GACCCGATATCCGGACGCATCACATTGGATGATCAGGATATCGCGCTCATGTCTCCCCAGCTCTACCGCCGTTACATGTCGCTGGTCCAACAGGAGCCACCACTGTACCTTGGCTCCGTACGAGAGAATATTGCCCTTGGTCTCCAACACAAGCCTTCCGACGCCGAGATCCAAGAGGCGTGTCGCCAAGCCAATGTCCTCGAGTTTGTCGCCTCGTTACCCGAAGGTCTAGAAACCCCTTGCGGATCCAAGGGCTTGCAATTTTCCGGCGGGCAAAGACAGCGCATCGCGATTGCCAGGGCGCTCATTCGCCAGCCACGATTGCTGTTGCTGGATGAAGCGACGTCGGCGTTGGACACTCAAAGTGAAAGGATCGTGCAGAAGGCGCTGGATGAGGCTGCGATGTCGAGGACGACGATTGCCGTCGCGCATAGGCTGTGAGTACATCCATGTGGAGATACAGGATGATCGATCACTGACATTGCATACAGGAGCACGATTCGACACGCAGATGTTATCTTCGTTATGGAAGATGGTATTATCGCCGAAATGGGTACTCATGAGGAACTGCAAAGATTAAGAGGAAGGTATTTCGCTACGTGCTTGGCGCAGTCGCTCGACCAAGCATGATTTGATACTTATAATACGAGGCTTTTCAACGCATGCAGATCGTCGCGATACACGTGAAGTCAGACTTTCTAAGGCGATTGTAATTGGCCGACGCGGTCCTTCTCTTTGACGAGAGCTAATTCGCATGTGCAGACCTACTAGTCCGCTCCCGTTTCTACAGTCGCCCCGCCTCGCCTAGTGTTTTGCTGATTACAGCAAGCGTTCAGCGGTCGGGAGTATTACCATACGTCAAGTTGGCACCTACATTGACTGCCATGGTTACTCTCACAGAGCACTCAACGATATGTCTTCCTTAACCCGGAACTCCGAGCTTTCGCTGCTCGCCATGCCAACCAATGATCGGCCATCCTTCAGGGAGAGTTGCGAACGGAGGCAGTTCGTACCGACCATGGCAAGCGCCACTAGTGCACTTCAGGTTGCACAACCCAAGCATTTTGCAATAGCACACACTCGCATTGGGGCAGTGAATAGGGTCTTGCCCAAATATTACTACAAGAATTAGTACACTGGGAACTCCATGACCAGGGTGGGGTATTTTACTATGCCAGGAATACTCCATAATCCTTCCACTGATTGAGTCTTCCAAGGTTGTCCTCAGCAACAAATTTCGAATGCGCTCATAGTATTCAACCGGTTGTTCCTGTATCTTTTCCTTCGTAGCAGCAAATTGCGCGCAGCAAGAAACACCAACTGCCATTGGAATGTCGCGACCTGGGAAGATCACTTCAAAGGCTTGTTTGTAGAAATGACCCGCATGAGGCTGAGTGTGGGCTGCGTCTACTGCATCTGTGAGTGGGCGAATCTCGTTCGGGCAACCCAGAACCCATACACAGCGCAGGTTGAGATACCCTTTTTCCTGTAGGTAGGAAAAGCGAAACTTTCGCAGGATCGACAGACCGTCATAGTCGGGATCGTCGTTGTGCCATTGGTATCTCTCCGCGTGGAGAAAGAGAATGTTTCCTGGCAATTTGTGGTAGTTGTCGATGATGAAGCTATTTCAGAGTCAGTCCTTGCATAGCAAACGACATAATCGCGTAGGGTTGTATTCATACGAAAGATACACCATCGATTCACGACCCTTGTTCAACGGCACCGTGAGCTCGGCGGTTGGATCGTCCACCACATAGACATATTTGCGCCACTCTGGAAGCTCATCGTAGAACCAAGACGTATTCTCATGCTTCATGGAAGCGATGACTAGGGCCTTGTCAAACGGGCCTTCGTTAAGAGCGATGCCACCATAAGGTTCATCGGGAACATTGGAGCTCAGTTTCCAGAAAGTCAGAACGGATAGGAGTACGAGACACGTAGCGATGAAAGGAGTTCGGATCGGTCGGCGGAACGCGGGCATGACGTTGGCGTAGAGCCTCATGATGGAGTTGAAGATGGATGAAGAAGGAACGACGCACAAGTGCGAAATCTTGTTTCATCCCTCCAGGCATCAGCAGCAGCAGCACATGACTGTGGTGTACTTTGGTTGTTGAGATGAGATTTTACTAAGAACCATGGTTGCGATGCACTGGAGCCAGGGCTCACATTGGACACGTGATGGCGTAGAGTCTGCTCAAGGCTCAGGGCATGTGTGAGTGATATGCGCGGAATCATTACCACAGTTAATATTGCGGACGTGTCAGCAGCAGCTGAGAGAGTTCAGTTCCGGCCCCCAAAGTCATACCGCCGCCAATTACAAGGATGGTTAGCCTCTGGCCCCGATCTCGGCTCGACGTGCATTAGCGTGATGAAAGATCGACCAGACGACAACAACACACTGCGACACATCTTCACGCACACAACACGACTGATGTAGCCGCGAGAGCGCTACTTCGACAGATTCTAAAAACGATAATAACAAGTCACGCCGGAGCTTCACAACCGGCTCTGATGTTCATTAACCTCGAGTCGCCAGACTGAGCGACGTGTTTCGTGGCGCCTCCGCTCAAATTCAACATGTGGCAAATCGACGCCATAAGCCACCCATAGTCCAGGAAATCGTCACTATCTTGTTTCAGCTGCAGCCACAACGAGACCTACTCCTATTACTGGAGGCCTTGCCGTGGGGCCAACGTGCTCTTGGCACGACAACACACCTACGAGACAGACCGCCCTCCCCCTCTCTTCTGAGCGCAACGATGATGGCGAAGCATATGTATTGGAAAGTCGCGGACTAACCCATCGATGTCTTGCAGCATGTGTATTTGCATATCTTTCGAGAAGGATTGGAAGAAACTACGAGCATGAGGCTAAGCGCCAGGCTGCCTGACAGCCTCAGGCCGAACCTCAGGCCGCTCAGCCAGTAATCCACATGCGCGCTGTAAGGCCCCCACCCTAAGATGGGCGATAGCCACTGCAATTGGTCTCAATATCGACCGCAGCACAATGGCGGTGCACGGCCTTTCAGCACACTATTCTCATAAGATCAGATCTGGGCCTCGCTCGCGTGGTTGTACGTCTCTACCAAACCATTCTCTAGACGCGTACCGCATTGTTACCTTCGGCCTTCAACACCAAATCCGCTTGACCGATGGCTGGCTCGTTCATCACGGTCTCGCGATGGGTCTTCTTCCTGTTCTGCCTTACTACGGTCACTTTTGCGCATACACTCAATAAGCCCCCGACACGAGCACTCGACCTTCGACCAAGAACTTCCCCCACACCACAGGAAGCTGCACTGAACATCAAGCGCGCCCTCAAGCAAGGACTCGAAGTCTTCAAACGCGATGTATGCGAAGATGCGTTTCCAGGCGAAGGCGCAGTAACAAATACCTGCAACCCCAGCAATACGCTCTGCTGTATCCGGAAGGGAGAGAGCTACCCCCAGTGCCAGAACCTCCTCGATAAAGGATGGTGCTGCATCGACAATCCCAATAGCGAGCCTGGCTGTTACGTCGACCAGCCATCTGTCTGCGAAGAAGCCGACTCGGTGCCATGCGCGAATCTCGACGTTGGTGTGGAACAGGCATGCTGTCCAGGCCAGACTACATGCGCGTCGGGCTACAAATTCACCGAGAAGTTTGTACGCTGCCAGATTCTCTCGGCTGACCTCGTGTCACTAGCCAGTGCCAGCGCTGCTCCGACAAGTAGTTCGAGTATAGAACCCAGCTCCGCGTCACCGACTTCCGAGGTTACTTCGTCTGCATCAGACTCAGCCTCACACACACCCTCTTCCGCTCCTGCTACAGCATCAGACGTCCTATCAAACGCAGCATCGAGCGCCATACCGCCACCTCCGTCTAGCGATTCGTCTTCGTCTTCCTCGTCCTCATCTTTGTCATCCGGCGCGATCGCGGGCATCGCTATTGGACCGACACTGGCGCTCGTGGTCGGCGTAGGTCTATGGTTTCTCTACAAGCGTCGACAGAAGAAGAAGTTGCAACCATATGCGCCGCCGGTGATGTACCAAGACGCTTACCCAAAGGCCGAGCTGGCATCAGAGCCCGTCATTCCTGGGCCCTACAAATATCAACATGCTGCCGCCGAGCCACCTCAGGAGATGCCTGTGCAGTACACCTACGAACTCGACGGCGGGGCTCATCGCGGACCGTAGAAGAGGAGTAATGCTGTTGCGAGGACACGCTTCTCTGTATAACGTCCAAGGCTGTGCCGACACCCGACACTAACGCCGTCGTGCATTGTAGCCACGTGTAGACGAGAGCATGTTTGCTTTGTACTTTTGTGTTAGACGTCTCGTATCTTAATTTACTTACCTCATTTCACCTGAAAATTCCCAGCCATCTGTACATCTTCATACGAAGCCAGTATCACCTCGCATATAAGTCGTATGAAATCTGGGAGGTGTGGTTGGCTCGTCGTCTCCGGGTCGCCTCTGGGTCATCGCAGTACCATGGGAGATGAGTATCACGCTGTGAATCGTCTTCATGTCGACTGGTGTGAAAGGTGAAAGTGAATCAGACGTGCCTTCCTCGCTGCCTGCGGGCACTCCTCCACAGCTCTTGCCTCCTACCTCTCGCGTCCACACCACACCAATTTTTGTCTTCGAAGTCTGCCACAATTTTGACAAATGCGAGGACGCGCCAACTATTCGCAAGGCTTCGGCCATCGTCAAGTGCCGACAGGACCCCGACGAGGGGGCTACAATGCACCGTCTGGAGCGCCTCGCGGCAGAGGCGGCTACAGTGCCAATCCCAGTGCCAACGGGTACAACGATGGGTCTGCCCATGGTACTGCCAGTGCCAGTGCCAGTGCCAATATCAATGCCAATGCCGACAACGGGCAGTATAGGCTGAAGCTCGACGTCAAGTACTACCTTCGGCCCCACGACTGCGTCGATCAGCTGGAAATTCCGGCAGGCTCTGGAATGAGCCGCAAGGACACGACCTGCCTGCATTGTGGGCAGACAAACATTTTCGGACATGGCTCTTATCAGCTGCTCCGCGACGGCTCTTGCCCTCGTCGCTGCTGCCGTTGTCGCACCATGGACCACCAAGGATGCGTAAGTCTTCTTTCCTATTCGAGATCCATCAGATGCTGATGCTCGATAGCTTTGTGATAGGTTATGGCTCTCTGCTGCCTTCCTGAAGCGTGCGTGACCAAGCGAAGGGATGCGTAGGCCCAGGCAGACTCGCCCATCGCCACTCGATCTGGAGGTCATTCGACGCGACTACCCAGAGCATCGCGAGTTTGCCGATAGCGTGCTGCCGCTTGCCGACAAGAAGCAACACCATTCGTCGCCGCAGGTGCCCAAGCGCGCACGGAGCGACGACGACGAACAGCCGGAACCGAAGCGAACAAGGACTGATGCTGGTGGTGCCGAGATGGAAAAGATGAGGGCGGATATGGATGCTCTCCGGGCTGAGAATGAGCGGCTCAAGACTGAGAACGAGCAGCTTAAGGCTGAGACTGAGAGGCTCAGGAATGCCAGTCGCACTTCTGCTCCTTTCGTCAAGAAAGAGGAAGTCGACGAGCATGATTTCAACGCTCTTAGCGAAGAGTTCGACAGACTAGTTGATGAAGAGCTTGCTCGAATAAGTCGGTGAGGTGGATGCCAGAGAGGATTGTTTCGACAAGGCTGTGCGTTATCTGGACGGTTAAGAGGTGACGGTGTCGTCGTCTTGTAAGAATCTCTCGCGAGGGCCCAGGGCTTTACGACCTCAATGTCGGCAACATCTGACGAAAGTCGGAACACATTCTCGAGTCGCAGGGCGCTTTTGTGAGTTGTTCGCGGTATACCTAGATAGACCGATATGAACGAAACATCTCAGTGACGTAGCGGAGGGCGGTTTGACACGGGGTTGTGCTCCTGCTGCTTTCCATAAGCGGTGTTTACGGACCCACTTTTCTGCGCACTCACCTCACAGTCAGTCCATGATACCTTCTCTCTTCAACACCGACATCCATTGCTTTCTAGCAACACCACGCTGAGATGGAAACTGCCGGTATGTTTCATTAGCTGGCGCTCTTGATCGACCGACTAACAGATTGTAGCAGAAATAGCGCAGCAGCGCATCATCCACTTGCGAAAGACAATTGCCTATGGCAAGACGCAGCCCAAGCGATTCTTGCCCCATTTCCTACAGAAATGGGAGGAGGAGATTGCCAGCCTTTTGCCGATCGCCAATCCTTTGCCGGCGTCGCCAAACCCAGAGACGAGTGCCGCTCCTGGGAAGGAGGAAAAGAAGGTTGCCGAACTGAGCGGAAGCCTGTGGGTTCCCAAGAGTGCTCTCATGAAGAAGTACTTTGGAAACGAATTGCCGCTGCCACCTTCGAGACCATCAATGTCTCTTCCTCCACAGACCCCTGCCCCTGCCCCCCCTGCCCCGGCCACGACCAACGAGAGGGAAACAACTGCCGGGCCCATCAACGGCCTGTCGAGAGCCGACGCTCACCGTGCCGCGAGGGATTCCTGGTACAAGGAGCATGGCCTGGATCCCAACGATGAGATCAGCGGGTGGAAGTACGCGGAATTCCGGCGACGTGGGGGAAGATGAAGACCTGAGCGGATTATTCCCTTCGGGGTCCCATATCTGATACGGCCATTGCCAAAGTACCTGCTGGAGGTGTGAAGGAAAATGGGTTTCGCGAAGACTGCTCCCTGTATTTAGCGAGCGACATGAGAGATGCGTAATTCCGTTCGATGATTTTGTCGAGCAGGTAGCGTATGGAAGCGCTGGACGAGCGGTGCCTCTGGTTGGTGGTTTTGCCGCGATGTATTGTAGTTAGTCAGTGCAGGCGTTGTCTTTGCCAATACCATGCATCGCGCTCGCATCATACTCTCGCCTCGATCTCGTGTGACAGTTTCATGAACGCTCAGATACGTGGCCAGGTATATTGAGGCAGCGTCCCACGGAAACCCACGTAGTCTGTGCAATTCCTAGCCTGGCATGAAGGCAAGAAGCAGCGCGAGAAGAAACCTCACGATGTTGGCGTTGAAAACACGTTGCACGCTTCTGATCTTCCTGCTTTTGTCGGTACGCTGGTGATCATCATGGCACTCCTTTCAATGTAGTACGCTGTATCCTATTAGGATGCTTCTTTCGTTTAGTGAACTGTACAGGCTGGCGGTCTCTCGATCTCATAACGAACACAGTTGGATGTTGAAAAAGAACAGCAGCCAGAGCGAACATGGGCTGCATATGTTGCTTTTTTGAGTTTGAAGTATGGAACGCCGGTTGAAGAGAAGAGGAGAAACAAAGGCAGAAATTTATATCCCTCTGGAAGGACAAGTTCTTGGCCGGGGTCTGCTTCTCTCATGTTCTTTGAGTGTCTTCGTTTTTTTGACAGAACAGGAGAGAAAGACATGTCGGAAAAGCACTTGACATTTGGTGTCTGCACGACGCAGAAGATGTTTAAGAACGCGGGTTGAGTTAAGCATAGCTTTGTACATCTCAGCACAACCTCTCATAAGTTGTAATAGCAGTACGTTTCGAGACTCTCCCCTCCTCTGGACTCACGTAACCCATGTTTGTTCATCTTGGAAAAGAGAGAAGAGACATGACTTGGTATTCTGAGCATTTTGATACCTAGGATCGAGTGTAGTAGAAGAAGAGTGGAAAGACGGGCGTAACAGCAGGGCTTTTATATCACCACAAGCTCAGCCGCCAGTCATACAACCTGGGTTGCGACATTTCAATGAAGTTTCGTTCCGCTCACCGTCTGCGACATATGGAGTGCATGGTACCCAGTCTCGTTCTTCCGACAGAAGACATACCTTGTTTGTCCCTTCGATTTCAGTGAGGCGCGGTGCCGGCGATCTCATCGAAGAAGTGTCCGTGGCTTTTGGAAGAAAGGAGCGAGTCGCGACATAACGACTTCGTCGAGATTTTTTGGTACCGCCAGCGCTTGTCATAGAAGATTAGGTTGTATGTTTTTCAGAACAACAGCACATAGAGATTCAAGCTTGTGTTTTTGGTCGCGAAGATTGAATGCTGCACATTCTATGCAATCTCCGAGGTTTTGATAATGTCGCAGACGGATACCCCAGCCATGTTGTCATGCCCTGTATCTCTTATTGGGGGAGGAAAGTCATTGGTCGACGTTTTACTTGTTTTGGTAATCACCCCGCTGGAAGTGAGGATATAGAAGAGAAGGAGACCGGGAGGAGGACGAGAGCTTTTATATCGACCGCGCGCGACGAGAACAAGCCATGCAATTTGTCTCTTTTCATTTTGGGTGTCTCATCGTACAATGACAAGGGTTTTGGTTGACACACATGTCACGTACACGTGAAGATTTTGCACACCCTTCACATACCATGTGCCCTTGCGCGATTGAGAATGAAACGCTGTAGTCTGTGTTGCGACACATGCAGTAATAGCTTCAACCTTTCGATTAAACACCCCAGGAAACTTCTCAGTCATGAAAGACTTCCATAGTGTTTTGGAAAAAGAGACAAACATGCAGCGAGGTCCTCGGTGTTTTTGGAAAAAACCAGTAAAGGCTGTGGGAAGTGTAGAAGAGAAAGCATAACGAAAGCTGTGGCTATTTATATGCTCTCAGGACTGGCGCTCAGACCATGCCGAACATTCCCTTGTTAGGCGAGCATGACTTTGATGCTGGACGGACCCAGAAGAACGAACATGGAGTCCAGGCACTTTTATCTTGAAAGCTCTACCATGTGGTAGTACTTTACAGTTTTGAGGAAGATAGCGACAATAGTTCCCTTTTTCACACACGCACAGAGATCATATGGCCATCTTGGTGTTGTTTTGGAAGTCGCAGTCGCGCAACATGAGATCTTTGATGTCAGGGCTTAGACGACCCCTTTGGGGAAAAGAAAGCGTTCTTCTCAGACATGACTGTACGCAATTTCTGTTTCTGGAAGCACACACGCATGTGGCATGCCGGGAGATCTTTCTGGATTTGAGGAGACACCATTCGTGGCGCATATGGAGATACTGAACGTGTTTTGGACTGCGAGTCTCGAATAACAGAGGTCTTTCTCCAGCCACATCAAAGCTTCCTTTCATCTGTTTTGATCGTGAATGGAGAAAGTTGGACACCGAGACAGAGAGCCATGTTTTTCCGACGTTCTTGTTTTTGAGTCCATCGTCGTGACTGTTGCTTGCTTCCACAGAACATGGCGAAGGCGTGGCAATATTTTGGTCTTCTCCTCCACACATTCCGTGGTTCCTTGCTTGTTTTAGTTCCAGCGACAAACCACACAGCCATCCGCTGCTCCTTTTTCGATTTAGATGTCGCAGTCGCGGAACATAGAATTGAAATGTGTGGTTTTTGGATCGGAAGGCTGCATGTAGCAAGCGCGGAGGTCTTCTCAGAAATGTGGGCGAATTTGGGCGTTTTTGGAAAGGAGGACGCACATGCTTGGCTTTGTACGGGGCTTTTCGAGTAACCCAGGGAAGAGTTGTAATAGAGAAAGAAGGAAGAGAGCGCCGGACGTCGAAGCTTTATACCGGCGCTCGCTCAGCTAGCGGCTTGCGAGGGAAGGAAGCCGCGGAAGTCATCCAGAAAGGGCCGGTCGCTTTTGATTCTCCATCAACCGATTTCCGGCGATCTTTTCGAACATATAGCGCCCTACTCCGTCTTTTCAAAATCATGACAGAAGAATATCCAGCTTTTGGGATCGCAGAAGTCCGACAGTCTTCTCACTCATGAAGCATCTGCAACCAGCTTTTGGAGGAGACAGCACATGATTCGAGACAATGCACTTTTTGATATTCGAGAATCGAAGTGTGATGCAGAAGACCATAGCAAAGAATGCCGCTGATTTTATACCCACGGACAAGCTGCCAGCAACGACGGTGGTGATGTGAACGAAGAAACCAGCGCCGGGATGCATGAATATGTCGCCGTTGTGTTTTCTGATCTGACTTTTCGGAAGTTTCTGCTCTCTGCTCTCCAACATAGAATGATGCGACTCAGGTTTTAGAGGAGGAGCGAAGGCCATTGCGAGAAGGAGGTTCGGAGTTTTGGACGGTGGACGCAGACATGACCGGCGAAAGTATGTGATTTTGGAAGAGGAAGGAGGAGCCAGCTCATAAGAGTGTTGTGGTGTATCTTTAGGAGAAGGAGAGACAAGCCATTTTCACCTGTCTCTCATGTTTTGGAATCTGGTGGAAGAAGAGTGATGAAGAAGAGAAGGAAAGGATGTGCGAGAGATGGACTTATATACCCACCGCGGAGATGGGACGACGTGCGCGACTTGGAAGTTACATGCACGCCAGGTGTAAAATTTCTGAAGACATAGTACATGCTCATTCGACTAATGCATTCCCTACATACCAATTATTTTCCCAGCATAGCATCACCTCAGCCTCACGCTGATGCCGCAACACCACCCTCCCCACCAGCACCATCCTCAACCCTCCTCTTCTTCTTCCCATGATGCCCCCTCGCCTCGACTCTCCCCTCAACCGGCACCACCCTCGTAGCCGTAAAGATATACCCTTCCGCACCCCCCTTGCTCGTCATCATAGGATGCGTCCTGCCAGGAAGAACCTGCCACTGCCTCGCTCTCGCCGTCTGCAGACTAGGTGCAAGGACCAACGTAGGGTTGAGCGGGAAGTCGTCTTCTTCGTTGTCGGCTTCCGATGTACCTGCTGGGGTATCGACGTCGTCTTCGATTTTGACTCGTTTGCCGTTGGTGTTACCGTTACCGTTGGTTTGCGGCGGAGGTCCAAATTCGCGTGCGATGTACGCCGCGCGACGTTCTTTCGAGTAAAGATCGCACAACTCAACCAACGGCTCAACATTAGGATTATACACCACAATCCTGCCCCCACCCTTCACAAGCGGCACCAACTCCCTGAGCACAGTCTTCGCATCCATCGCCGTCGCCACCACCAACCCATCAAACCCACCCCTCTTCGTCTCATCCACCACACTCTTAACCCGCTCCCAACGTCTGCGCTTCTTATAGTAAGTACCGCGTTTCGTCGACTTCATGCTCGCAAGCACTTCTTCGGAGATTATTTCGGGCTCGTCGTAGGAAGGGTCGTCTTCGGGGTGGAGGAGGGCGAGCCAGGAGAGCGATTTGAGGTGTTTGTAGAGGGGGTGGGCGGGCGTGGGGTTGCCGTAGTCGTAGCCGAAGTATTTTAGGTAGGAGAGGTTGGGTTGGTTGTTGGGGTGCAGGACGGTGAGGGTGTTTGTTTGGGCGGACATTTGCGGGATGTGTGGTCGTGGGGGCTTTCGTGGGCGTGGGGGAGGATCTGAAGGGGTGGCTGTGGGGTCTGTGGTTGTTGTGGCGTCGGCGTCGGGCATGGCGGTGTCGGTGTCTTTGGGCGATGGGGCGGAGGTTGGGGCTGGTGTGCCGTTCATTTCGACGTCAGCTGCCTCCTCTTCCGAGGACGGGTCGTCGTATTCGTCCTCCGGGTAGAGGATGCCCATCTTCTCGGCAAGTGCTGCTGTGACAAGACCTCCGGTGTCGTCTACTACGAGCCATCGCCCACCTCCCACCTGGCTGACTCCATCTTCTGCCATGTGAATCTGATTTGCCGCCCCAGAGTGTATGTTTGCCCAGCTGTTGATCAAGCCCAGTAGATCTTCCCTCAGCTCCATAATCTTGTATGCCTCCTTCTCCAGAACATACTCTGTGAGCAGACCAACATCCATGGGCAGGGCGGTGAAGCGCTTCAAATACTTCTTCGACTTCCGCAGGGTGTACTTGGCCAGCGAAAAGCTCGTCTTCTCGTCAATCGCATTGTGGGAAGCCATAATCTTGGCGATGATCTCTTTGCCGGAGCCGGCGCCTGCCTTCTTCAACTCCTCAATCTCAGCCATGGATAGCGCCTGCCGCGAAGCATCGTCGACGGTCAAGCGGTTGTTGCGCATGATGACCTGCCCATCTTCTCCCACAATGTCGAAGCCCGTAGCACCCGCAGCACCCTCGGCAGTCTCTTCGCTGATTTCCGCAGCAGGTGCATGGTCGCTGCCTAGAGCTTCGGCGTGGAGCTCGGAAGCGGGTACGACGCGCAGCTCCGTCTTGGATTTGCCATCGTCCTTGTCGAGCAGTTCGTAGGTGAGATAGTACGGGCGGCCGAGGAGGAGGTTGGAGTTGAAGGTGCCGAATTTGCCGAGGTTGATGCTCCTGTAGGGTGTTTAGAAGGAATTCTTGCATGCATGCACACGGAGGGCTCACTCCAGCTATGCGACGTACGTATTCGGTGTGATTTCGACGATCTTGAAGAGGCCTGAGGGCAGTCGCAGCGCAACGTGCGTATTGGGGCGGACGTGGGAATGCATGGCGCGAATGTGGTCGCGGTCCTGTGTTCTTTACTATTCCATGTGTAGTTATGGTTAAAAGTCTGAGTATGGTATCTCAGCCCCGAGTTCTGCACGCGCAAAGGTGAGGTGGAGCTAGTGAATTTGTCGCAAGGAATAGTTCCGAGGCGCACCGCCGCGTCTTACTCAGCCACAGGCTCAGCCACACACTCGCACCAGTCGTACGTCATCGCCATCGCGACTTCTGCTACTTGGGCGTGTCACTCGGGTCCAACACGTCGCTTACGTCGACTACTTTGCTTCTTTCGCTGGAGTCCTGCTTCAATATCAATCCCCTTCACCCGCCTTCCTCATACTACCGCGCCGCGCCCACTGTCGCGAGAACTCCCCCATAATCCACACCAAGCCCCAGGGCCCTGCACCGTAAACATGGTGCTACGAAAGTCCGACGAAGCCGACGACGTCGTTCCAGCGCCGCTGTCCAAGGCGATCCCCCCGTATCCCACGACACCCTCCGACGAGCACCCGCCTGCCTTTCCCGTGTCGCCCGAGCGTGCCGTGGACCCGCCCAGCACGAGCAAGTCGCCAGCGTTCAACATCAAGACGCCCGAGGAGACGCGACTTCCCGAAGACAAGCACGAGAGCGACTCGGACCTGAGTGAAGACGAGTGGAATCAGTCGGATGATGACTTTGAAGACATCAACCACAACGATGTGCCTGCCGCCCTGAAGCCGGCTGCTGGAAAAAGGCCACCTGTGCCAAGTACAACACACATCACCAGCGGTCTTCCCGATGCTTTGAGGCCAGGGCCGCCAGCAGGTATCCCCATCAAGCGCTCACAGGAAAACATCTCGGCCACGCCCACCGGTGCCAGCGCGGCTTCCTACGGCGCAGCCAGCACCGTGTCCGAGCAGTCCAATGGCTCCATCCCGCTGAAGACCAACAACCCCTACCTGAAGATGCAGACGACTGGACAGAACAGCTGGGACGGCGAGAGCAGCCAGGCTATCTGGGGCGATGCGCCGAGCCACGCCCACAAGTACGAGGCGCCCGTCGAGCTCCCGGCCTTCCAGACGCCAAGTACACCCACCCACGACATGAAGAACCTTGGACTAGATGACCATGCCCCGTCTACGCAGTCGACAGCACCAGTAGAGCCGCCTGTCATTGCCGTGAACTCACCCACATCTCGGTCGGAGCATCCAGACACCTCCCTCGATACGAATCCATGGGAACCCGCCTCGCATGATGCTCATACTGACACTGTACCCTGGACGGCACCGCCAAGCGACGCAGCTGCCCGTAATGAAAGCTCACACAACATTCCCACCCCAATCATTTCAAATGCGAATACTGCAGAGCAATCGTCTCTTCCACCTCAATACACGCCCGAGCAAACACCACCCTCCTCTGAAGAACCTCCACCTGCTCTGCCACCAAGAAGGTCGCACGAGGACATGGCGCCTACAATGCCTCCTAGACCTATCGACACAGGTATCGGTTCGTCCGCCCCTCCTGCCTTGGAATCGCCCAATACGACAATGGAGAGGCAGAGGAAGGAACACTACCAGATCAAGCACATTCGCTGGCTTGACCACACCATCGAGGACATGCGCGTTTCGCCCATCCTGACGCAGAACCTGAACGGCCCCTGCCCTTTGCTGGCTTTGGTCAACGCACTAGTCCTTTCGACTCCTGCTAGGCTTGACACTGCACTTGTTGAGACATTGCGCACACGTGAGACAGTCAGCCTGGGACTACTGCTTGATGCCGTCTTTGACGAGTTGATGTCCGGTAGACGGGGTGATGCTGCGCAAGCCTTGCCCGACGTGAGCGAGTTGTACAAGTTCCTCCTCGCTCTCCACACAGGTCTCAATGTCAATCCCATGTTTGTCCCAGACTCCAACACCCCGGATGCACAATCCACGCTCACGAGCCGAGCTGGCGCTTTTGAGAATACCCAAGACATGAAGCTGTACCGCACTTTCAACATCCCACTCATGCACGGATGGCTGCCCGAGGCTGGATCCGACGCTTATGCTGCCTTTAGTCGCGTAGCAGCGTCATATGAAACATCGCAGTTTGTTCAGTTCCAAGAGGAAGAATTGAATGCGAAGCTGGGGGCGGGCGAGTCTCTGAACGAGGACGAGCAGCAGATGTTCACGGATATCCATGCCATCAAAGAGTTCTTGATGCGATGGCCAACACAGTTGACCGATCATGGTTTGAAGGTCATTCGCGATAACCTCCAGCCCGGTCAAGTCGCTATCCTGTTCCGAAACGACCACTTTTCGACGCTCTGCAAGAACCCTCGCAATGGCGAGCTCGTCACCCTTGTCACAGACCAGGGCTACTCCACCCACGACGAAATTGTCTGGGAGTCTCTTACCGACGTCAACGGCCAAGGTAGTCAGCTCTTCTCCGGCGACTTCCGCTCCGTCGACAACAGCAACACCTCCGGCCTACAAGACCAGCACCAAGCTTCAAGCGCAGACAACGGCCAAGGCTGGACCACCGTCCCCGCCCGCCGCGGCAACGCACAATCCAACATCCCCCAAGACACCTCCGTCACCTCCCCGGAAGCCCTCAGCCGCGCCGAACAAGAAGACCACGACCTCGCCCTAGCCCTCCAGCTCCAAGAAGAAGAAGAAGACCGCGAGCGCCGCGAAACGGAACAACGCAACACCCGCAACAACCAACTTTCCATGGACGCTATCAACGCTCCGCCCCAGCCACCGCGGAACCCACAGAACCCGGTCATTCCGCCCCGCCGTAACAATAATATTACGGGGCATAGACCTGCTGGTGAGGCGGCGCCGCCGCCGTTGTACGAGGAGGCTATTACAAGTCCGCAATATGTGCCTCCGGCTGGGCATCCGGCGAGTGCGCAGGCGCCGGTGCCGGGCCAGGGCGGGAGTGCGTATCAGAGTACGAGTGGCGGGTTGCCGGCGTTGCCTGGCGCGGGGAGGGGCAGGCATGGTAATGTTTTGCCTGGACGGATGGGCGGAGGGAGGAGACCGAGTCAGGGGCAGCAGGGACAGGGGCAGGGACAGGAGGAGAGGGATAAGTGCGTTGTTATGTAGACGCGCTCTTCCCTTTTCCCTTCTTCCTTGCGCCGATCTAGGAGCATGTGGTTCGAGATGGCACGACTTTGAGACTATCTGCTGACATGTCATATTAGAGATTTGGATGAGGTGCCGTGTTCGTGGTGTACGGTTAGTTAGTATCCGTTGTGAGCGCGGACCGAGGGTATCTAGATGTTGTTGTGATTGTGATCACGGTGATGACTTGGGCGTTTGGTGGTGTTGGAGTGTTTATATACCCGTTATTCTTTCTGCTTTTCCGCTTTTCGTAGTACGCGGTCGGTAGGGTGTTTGTTGCATCAGGTTGGAAGCAGTATTTTTAATCCAGATTCCTACGCATCACTTTGCATTTCCTCGGTCTTCATGATTCTTTGTTGTATGTGATATGACACGTTCATCGTCCTTATGATGACATCGTACTATGCATACCATGAGGCTTTACACGGAATCTACGAACTACCAATTTGCCTCGCCCTCTCCTTCCCCTCCATCCTTTTCAATTCTTCATCCCACTCCTCTTCTTGTTTACTCTTCACACTCTGTCCACTACTTTTACTCCACATACGAGTGTGTTGACCCGCAGCTCCAGTTTTACCGCCACGGGACTGAATGGCTTCTTGGAGTAAAGTTGCTTTACTCACACTCACACTCGGACTCCTCTGCTTTCCAGTCTCATTCTCATTCCCCTCGATGGAGGAGGACGATGACGCCATACTCTCCGATAAAGCAACACCACGCCCCTGGCCCTGCCCCTGCCCCTGCCCCTGCCGTTTAACCATCTCGATGAAGGACGACGATGAGGGCACCGCAGAAATCTGACCCAACTGCCGTTCATAAGACGTAGTAGCTTGTCTGTTATACCGCGGCATAGGCATGCCCATCTCCTCTTCAGCCGTCGGCCGCGGCGCCGGCGGCCTCATATTACAGTACGGCATTGGCGGAGGAGGTGGTCGAACAGGCGGTGGAGGTGGGCGGCGCGGCGGATCGAGACGCAGTGTTCCTTCCTGATGAATAACTGGAGTCGATGCCGGAGCACGAAGTGTTGACAGTGCAGACATCTTGATCGGGGCATGTGTCGGTGACAAGGAGGATGTGCGCTGGGGGTGAATTGGCGTAGTCGGTCTTTGCGTCCTTGTAGGAGAGTCATTGGTATCGGAGTCGGAGGCGTCGAGGTATGAGGGGTTGGTGGCTTCGTCGAAGGGGTTGTCGGGGTTGTCGTCGTGGTCGTAGTCGGATATCTGGTTCTCGTCTTCGGTATGGTAGACCTCGTTATCCATGGCCATGCTAGAAGGCCGACTATCGCGTTCGACGATAGAAGCAGTCTCGCAGCGCCAACTAGCTGTACTGGTACTGCCGCCACTTGCACCTCTGTTCCTATCTTCCCCTTGTGACAAGTCGACATTGTTACGCCAATTCGCAATGCCATTATCGGTGTCGTGACCACCTTTCCTCAGAGCAGGATGAACGGACCCATTGATCGTCAAGCCATCGCCCTCTTCATCCGCTTTTTCCTCTTCCTTCTCATGCGCCGTCTTCTTCTCTGCCCTGTCCTCATCCTCACTATCACCCCCTTCAGTATTAGAGAACCACCTCAACTGTCTCGGCTTCCCAGCCCCCACCGGCCTCCCAATCCTCCCAATCCCCCCCTCCCCCCTCATCTCCACCCTCTTCCTCTCCATCTTCTTCAGCTCCTCAGCCCACCCGCTCAAATCCTCGATACTGGGTCCTTTGTGTCTCGTCCCCCTTTCCTGCGGGCTCATCGTACTAGCCGCGCTGATCGAAGGATTCGCTAGACTGGTGTTGATCCAGAGGCTACCCTGCCGGTTACGACGGGATGCGGATGAGGAAGGGGTGGCTGTGGCGTTGCTGCGGCGGATGCTGTGGGCGTGGGAGGGGGGTGGTGTGTAGATGTTTGGGTTGGTGGCGTTGGAGAGGGTGTAGTTCCGGGTGCGGAGTGGTAAGGTGTCGGAGCTGGGGTCGTGGGTTTGTTTGATGGGACTGCTGGATGAGCGTTGGGTTAGGCCGAGGCTGTCTTCTGTAGCGCTGCTACGGGCGTTGGAGCTGTTGGTCAGGGTCAAGGAGAGGTCGAGCGTAGAGCTGTTCGACCGCAAGGAACTGCCATCGCCATCTCCCAGACTCCGAACGAAGTTCCCGTACTCATACCCCTCATCACTTCCTTCACTCTCCCCATCCGCGGCAATGTCGGCGAAGTACTGGCAATCATCCACAACCTTTACAGCCCACGCGAGCTTGATACCCTTCTCGCCTACCGCAACCTCCCTACTCTTCCGCCTATCCTTGTTCATCTTGAGTAAATCGCGCTGAGCCTCCAGTATAGTCGTCAACTCCCCCGTCTGCGCATCAAACTGCAGCCAGCTATCCACATCATCCAGTTGTTCTCGGCGGTAGATTCTATATTGTTTTGCGCCTGCTGCTTCGTCGTCGGCGTGAGAGTCTAGCTTTTGTGGCAAGGCGGCGTCGATGTATGTCGAAAGAGGTTGATGGAGTTTAAGTGAGCCGAGAGTGAGTTGAGCGGCGAGAAAAGTGTCTTTTGGACGCACCATAGACGGATGAATGACGTCGTTGTCGCTGTTGAAAGAGCGGCGGAGAGTGTGGCGACTTGCGCAGACCTTGAGGGCCATTTTGCTGACGGATGTCTTCATTTCCTCATATGTAGCTTTGGCTTCTGCGTCTATAGAAGGAATATTAGGAAGCCATGGCGAAGGCGGGACGGCGGTGACTGGAGTTGTCGCAATCGGTATAGCGGTGACAGGCGTCTTCGGTGAAATCAGTGACTCCCAAAACCCACCTTCCGCGAAAGAATTCTTAATAGGTCCAGCAGTAGCCGACCGCGGCGTCCCAGGACCGGAAGACAGGATCTCCCATCGCGGCCGCGGTGTAGTCGGACTCGCCGTCTCGAAGCGCGGAAGGTGCGCTGGCCGAAGGGGATGTGCACCCGTAGGCGCAGTCCATGAAGCCGAACTATAAAGCAGCAGCTGCCGTCCACCTGGAGTGACGATTGAATGTACAGGCGGAGGAGGAGGAACCCACCCGAGCACCTTCATACAATGTTCCTTCTTAGCCCGTAAGATATCCTTCTTCGCCTGCCGCCATTTCGCCTCGGTGAAGCGCTCTTTGTTCCAATAAATGACTTCTTCCCAAAACCGAAGGTGTTGTTCCTTAGTCAGGCTTTTCAGTCCCGCTGCTTCGTGTTGGCTGATTGCCTTGCCAGTGGCGGGCGAGATGGCGCTGTCCTCTTTCGTGAAGCCGCGCTCCATTGTGAGGACTCGTTCTGGCATTCTGGACGTATGTGAGTGGGTTTGGAATGTAGACGGGAAACTTTCGTGGGTTGCGACGGGAGTGTTTGGCGGCGTGCTCGGTAATCCCTGCGATCTGGCGAGCAGATTGAGTGTCATAACCTCGCCCGGGTTGTTTGGTCGCGTGAAGGGGACACGGGATTAACTGATCGCAAGAGTTGCGCTCGGCGCAGTGTAGGCAACCGCGTGGGAAAGATTTGCGACTTGATGGGGGAATTCCGTCACATGTCCCTCACTTGCACTGTGAAGGAATAGGGCGGTGTCTTGCAACGGAAGTGAAAAAGGTCTTGGGTCGAGGGTGCGCTGTGATTGTATTTGTTGTGCGGTGCGACTATCACGCGCTACTACCATGAGCAAACGCGCAAGTCGGGGTGAAACTTACTCGGTGGATAGAAATATCGACCTAAGGCGTTGAGCGAATTCAGCGAATGGGAATGGCTGACAGCATGGCGGTGAAAGTGAAACGGATGTGTAAATATAATATTGACCTGTAAATTTTGTCTAGGTGGTATCCAACTCCGCTAATGCGAATGCGACGTCTAGTCTAAGAAAGTAAAAAGGTTTGTATGTACAACATTGAGAGCGCGGTCGGCCTCGCGCTCTTCAATGACACAGGAGATGTTGATCTCGCTGGCGCCTGGTAGATGTTAGCAATGAAGCGGCATTGAGATAGAGAAAGACGTACCCTGAGAAATCATCTCGATGTTGATGTTGTTCTGTCCCAACACGCTGAAGAATCTACCAGAGATACCAATCATGTTCTTCAGCTGCTTACCGACCAAGCTCACAATGGCCATATCGGGCACGATGTCAATGGTGCCGAGCTGGCCAAGGTCGTTGACCGCACCTTGGAGATCCTTACTCTGGATCTTGTACTCATCTTCACCCCCACCACTTAGAAGAGCGGATTCAGAATGGAGAGCCATGGACACGTGGACCTCGGAAGAAGAGATGAGGTCGACAGAAAGGTGCCATCGATCGAGGATGCTGAAGATGTTCATCAAGAAACCATGGGCACGGGTGCGCTTGTTGCTGTGCACGTTGAGCACGACGATGTTGTGCTTGATGGTGACAGCAGTAGGGCGCTTGGGGCCTTCCAGCTGGGTGAGGAGACTCGCGGAACGAGTGCGGAACAGCTTCCCGTCTTTCAGGGGCGCACGACCGTCGATATCCTTCAGGTTATCCGGGAAGATAATGGTACCGGCATTGCGCGGGTTCATCACGTTCTTGATACGGATAGGGATGCGGGCGCGGATGACCTGCTCCATGGTGAAGGGGTGGATGACCTCAGATCCATAAAAGGTCAGCTCAGCAGCCTCAGAGGGCGTGACGGTGGGGAGAAGAGCGGCCGTAGGGACCTTGCGGGGGTCTGCCGTGAAGATGCCGTCCACCTCCTTCCAGACCTGGAGTTCCTTGGCCTGAGTACCAACAGCCACCAAAGCAGCGCAGAGGTCGGTATATCCACGTCCAATGGAGTTGAGCAGTCCGCCGGGCACGTTGCCAAAGTATCCGGTGATAACGGGCACCTTGTCGCCGCATGCTGCCACCTCTTTGCCCAGATCCTCGGCCAGGTCCTTGTAGAACTTGTCGTTGAGCCCGCCCTTGATAGGCGCATGGAGCCTGACGATGTCGCTGAGGTCGACAAACTGGGCCGGAGTGCCGCGATCGTTCAGAATGGCGGCCATGTAGCGGCAGCTCAGCTTCTCGCCCTTGCTGATGATCTTGTCCTCGGCGCGGTTCGTGACTTCCTCCAGGTGCTGCGCGGATTCCAAGATCTTGACGAGGCTCTCACACTCGGCATTGACCTCCTCCGTGTACGACGCCAGGATGTCCGGGTTCCTCAGGATGTCCTTGCCGGCCTGGATGTGGTCGGTGCGGATGGCCTCGACGATCTCGTCATAACCGCGGTGGTTGGGCTTTTCGGCAGCACGGGCGGCGCGAAGGAGGCGGTTGGTGGTTCCCTCGAGCTTGGTGTTGCTGCTGCGTGCGGAGCAGACAATGGCGGCGCGGTTCGTCGCAAGACCAGCTCTGTTTACTGTCAGCGCCTTCCATCTGGTGGGGGTTGGGATGGGTCGCACTTGACGATGCCCGCTATGTTCTCCGCAAACTTGCCCACGCTCGTACCCCCGAACTTGAGGATAACCCAGCCTCCAGGGAGGTGCTTCTCTTCCGTGTGAGCTATCCGCTCCGACTCGTGTGTGGTTCCGTTTGTGTATGCAGACATGGTGGTGTTTTGTGGTTTCTCCAAGCAATTGGCTATATGTGGTTTCCTAGAGGTTGGTATATGTCGAAGATATGTGTAAGACGTGTTCTTTCAGTAAATGACGTGTGTTGTGTCGTGTGAAGTCTGGAGCAGCGGAGTGAGGGAATTCTCAATGTCTTTTAGTGGGGCCTGAGTCAGAAAGTCCATGTTCGCGCCCGCAATCGGCGCCGGCGCTGCTGACGCCATGCCAGCGAACCACGACTCCACAACCCAGGAACATGCACACACACACCTCAACGGAACGGATCGGTGCATGCGCATGTCCTCCCGGTAGCCAATGGTGCGCTCGCTATTCAGCTACTGCGCCTTTGTCCGCACCCTTCGCAGCCCACGTCTCAACACCACGTCCTCTGGTGCCTCTGATACCTGACAGCTCATTCCTCTTATCGCGTCCTAGCGCGTCGTCCAAATTACCGTGTCGTCCGCGTCCGACTACGTGCCGGTAGTTGCTCTTCGGCCCATCGGCTATTCGTCCTCTATGTCTTGTGCACCACCTGTGCGACACTTCAGTAATCACGGTATTATCTAGCCATCTCTAGTCAGCGGCGAATTGATCCGATCATGTCCACGTCCATACATCGGGAACATGAGTCTGGGAATCCGTCGCTCATCAACGACGTTGCGTAAATCAATTTTGGAAACCCGCTTCGCTAACCCCTAGTATACTCTAGCAGATCTCGAAAGGTTGCCTCATCCTCAATCTCAAGCGCTCGACTTTGCAGGCTTTGCAGTTCCTCTTGGCCGTAGCTACCGCGCGCCAATAATTTACCAACAATACTTCGATACCCTTTACCAACTGCTTCAGTCAGAGCGTTCCCTATCTCTGCATCGTACTCTAGAAGAAGAGAAACAACAGCGAACTGTCCATACCGTACTGCTGTCTCCAACGCCGGTTTACATGTATCCGCACCATGTCCTAGCAACACCCGAACTACCTTCTCATGTCCGTTCCGACAAGCGCCTAGAAGGGGTCGCTTCTCGTATTCACTAGACGAACCGAAGCCGTCTACACGGGCGCCAAGTGCAAGATAATGCACTGTTATATCCACCCACCCATTCCTCGCGCTACGCACTAAGAACGCCGTGTATTCCTCAACACCAAACGTCCTGGTAACGCAGTGTTCGATTCGTTTTGTGACAAGGAAGTCATAAATCTCCAAACTTGGTGTGTCCAGCGAAGCCAACGCTCGTTCGTTCTGACACCAGTACTGAGGTCTCTTGGTCTTTCTGTCAAGCATCCACGGACGTTCCACAGCCTGGAAATTCCACAAGAACTGCGTCGCTTCTACACGTCCATGCTTGGCGGCCCATTCGAGCAAGCGCATTCGCATGTACTGAAAGTCATAGGGATGCCTCAAGTCCAGCATAGCGGCAAGAACCTCATGATTGCTGAAACTACCAGCGTGGATGCATGCCGATCCAAAGAGCAAACTTGGTCTATTGAAATGCTTTCCGTGGAGGATCCATCTCGCGCAAACTGGGAGTGTCTGTGTGTACAGGGCAGCAATATACACATCGGTGTCCAGATCATTATCATATAAACGTCCGTCATGCCAGTGCTCAGGTAGGTAGGTTTCGCGCCAATGCTCAGCTAGGTCTGTTGTCCATAGTTCGTCCAGGCGCTTGAATTCCCGCAACACCAGGGGGCATAGCTGACGAATGTAGTCGTGCTCGTTTCGCTCATCGTCGGTCTCTTGACTGAGACGGTTGGCGACGCTGCGAATCCAGAGTAGAACAGGAGCTCCGTCACATTGCTCGTTCAATACCCGGCGCTCAAGATAAGCTATCAACATAGTAGGTGCAGCCTTGTCGCTAAGATGTAGCAGAGGCCGAAACTCGGCATCCAGAAGCTTGTACAGGGCAAGTACCCTCATAACTTCCCCATCGAAAACCTCTATAGCCGCTCGTTAGCAGAGGTACCTGCGCACAAGATGCGAAAGGAAGCTTACTATTCACAAGCCGTAATCGAAGGCCGCGCTTCGTTCCCCGCACTAAGATTGCCCAGCCAAGGATTTCGTGCAAAAGCTCCAACGGCAAATCTAGCAGATGCATGGTGTATAGAGTGGTCGGCTTTGTAAAACAGATAGCTGTTCGGGAGGAGAAGAAGATTGAACAAGCACGTAAAGCGTTCAGCGGCTCTTATTCTTCGAACACGTTCGGGCCCGAAAGGTCGCGCTAAGAGGACCACGGAAACCACTTGATTGGCTGCTAGTAGCGGCGTAAGCTGCTGCCTACCATCGCCTTTCCGGCCTGAACAGCAACGATGGCGTAGGTGGTTATACAATTACACGCATCCCACTGCCTGCTCGCATCCTGCTGACACCCAGCAAATTCCAGCGCACAGTTTCAGAGCCAAGATGTGGCACAGCTCCAAACATGGCCTGTTGACCAACGATATACGCCTCTTCACAGCTCCGATCTCTGCGCACACACGGCACAGACGCCTTCGCAAATCAGATGGCTCCTATTGAAGAATCATGCAGGGGAAGGCAATGCGTTATGCCGTCTATTGGCACGTCAGCGTTTAACATATAGAGCCTGCTGCCGACGCGTTGTGATTGAAGTCTCTAGCCTTGACAGATACTCTTCGCTCGAGGGCTCGTAATCCTCACGTCGGTTGCAGCTCCTATATCATTACTCTTGTCTACAGATTCCTGTCATGGAAGGTATTGATGATATTCGCTACACGATATCGACAACCAAAATCGAGGACCTTCCGACGAGCGGCTGGGATACGACAGATTCTTGGGGCCCACTTACGACTCCATGGACTGCCCCATCTGCATGTTCCACCAGTTGGGCATTACGAGGCTATGGCTCTGATGAACATCTGACACCTATCGTGCATGCAGCCTGTTTGCCGGGTGCATCGAATATACACAGCCCTGGTACATGCTATGGCGACTACCATATCGTGGATATTATCGAATGGAGGACACCAGATTGGACGTCGGGGGGTAGTCGCGTGTTTGGTGTCGCCTGTTGTGAAAGGTAGGTACACATGTTCGGCCACAACGGGTCTCTTCATTATCAGTTGTCTCGTGCTGACACGGAGATTAGTGGCTTCACCAACACATTGTCTTATGGTGCCCGGTGCTGGTCAGCGTTTTCCACACCTATGACTGCGTACCCCTTCGGATGGACACAGTCCAGAAGCCAGGACGTGACCCAGACAGACAATGCCACAGTCCTCGATAGTGGGACCGCATCCATGTGGGTCATGCAAGGCTACTGGCAGGAATCTGATCTTCCGAACTTTGATCCCAGCTATGCGGCTATACTGGCAACGAAATTCGGTATTGACTTCACGCCGACTGGCACAGGCACAGCCGATGCCCCAGCCGAAACAGCGTCTCCGCCAGGTCGAAGCCAACTCACCTCAGCCACGTCGACGGTCGAGACGGACTCTGGAGAAGCTACCGGTCTCAGTAGCGGTGCCAAGGCAGGCATTGGCGTTGGAGTAGCCTTGGGAGTAATACTACTGTGCGCCGCTGGTTTCCTACTCTACAGGAAACGCGTTCAGAAGGCGAAGCTGGACCGCAAATCTGCTTTACAAAACGAACAACCTGAGTTGGTTCAGACGCGCGCCGCATAGCTCGCAGTGTTGACAGTATGCGCGTCCGCCACAGTTGGGCGGAGATGGAACTGTAAAGGCTAGATGGAGCTTGATGCGATAGCGCAAAACCAAGAGGAGGAGATGCCTTAATGTCGTACGGACATACACCAGCAAGAAAGAAGGCGCCTTGGCAACGATCGTTCGAAGTCCCCATACAGGAACAAAATTGGACAGGTCTGGATCCTACATCGACGTTAGGCCACCTACTTTATATGTGTTCATGTTGATGTAGGCTGCAGACCTGTTTGTCTTTTTCCTAGGTTTGACCTGCGACGAGCAACCGTAATGCACCATGTCTACAATATTATGCACCTGAGTGCTTGCCGTTATTGCGCCAGGGTCAATTGAAGCGGCTGTGGAACCAAGATGCGGCACAGCCCTAGGCAATGTTCAACAGCCAATGATTCGACCCTTCCCACGGGCCGCACTGGCCTCTGTCTCATCCGCATCTACGGCGTAGTCAGCTCTGCAAATTAGCCATCAAGGATCAAATCACCATGCAGGAGACTATAACGCGTTCTGTTGCGACGCGTTATGATACAAGTACCCGACTCTTCAATTTGGTACAGCTGCGGACCAATTTTGGCCACTTCAATCGCTACCGACTTCTTCCTCTATCAGTTGCTTCCACAATTGTCACCATGGCGGGTCTCGAAGATGCTAGTCTCACAATCCAAACACTACGCCCCGTCGATTACTTTCCAGCCAATGATGTTCTCCATCATTATCTACCAGTTCCGACTTCTTTCACGTTCGCGTCAACGTGTACCGACCAGTGGATGATTATGGACTTCATCACACAGACAGACCTCAACAACCTCTTTCCCACCTCATGTCTACCTCTTGGTGGGCCCACCGCCTACTATAGCCCAGGCACTTGCGTTAGCGGTCACCACATCGCTGCGCTGACCGAGTTCAGAACAGCGCGTTGGACGACAGGGGGCCTGCGCGCATGGGGTGCTGTTTGTTGCAGAGAGTATGTCTTCGTACCCAGCTATCGTGGGGCCATTCCCCATAGACACCAACCGAGTTATTAGAGCTGACAATGACAACAGCGACATGTCATTTGATGCAGACGACGCGATAGTGATTTCCTGCAGATCCAGATTTACCACACCCGTCACCGCTACAACTTCCCCCAGATTCGTCCCCACCGCTGGAGATATGAGGAGCACAAAGGTAATCGATGTGGGAACTCAATTCATGGACCCCATGTTCGTGTACTGGCAAGAGACCGACCTCTCGAAATTCGATCCTGGATATGCGGCGACACTAGCCGCGAGACTAGACATCGACTTTACGCCAGCAACCACGTCCGAAACGGCGCCCTCGTCAGACCGCAGCCAATCCACTTCAGCTACTTCTTCGGCGGACGATGGTGGCGAAAAGTCATCCAACCCGGATCTCAATATCGCCGCAAAGGCAGGCATAGGCGTGGGCGTCGCTATCGCGGCTGTCCTGGGGGTTGTCGCCGGACTTGTATTGTACAGGAGACACGCTCGCAAGAAGGCGAGGCTCGACCGGAAAGCTGCTTTACAGAACGAACAACCTGAACTCGTGCAGACACGCGCTGCATAACTCCACCTTGCCGACGGCGACCTCTATATCCCCACATCGAGATAATGCAGCTGGGACTCGACGAGTTTAACTGATAAAGGATGCGATCTCGTTAGTCTGTGCCCATGCGATACTCTACAAATCATTGGTTCTTTTCACAGCATTGCCAGGGGTGGTGATGGACGTTCGCTCTGCTTTCAAAGTCTATCAAGAGCAGGAATATCGCGATAGCCACCTGTCCCTTCTCATTGCACCCACTGCTTCTGTTTAGTCACAAAGGCTAGTCCGTGTTCGACGTCCCTTCAGCTTGTTGGTCGGTTCCCATCGACACTCTACTGTTCTATCCTGTAGCGCTGGGAGCTATTGTATATATAGTCTGGGTTGCATTTCTTTCTGCCCTTCGGTACAGTTCTTTGTCTCCCATTTGTCCGCTGCCAAATGCGGCGGAACTGGGCAGGAGGCTGCGGGAACGTCATGCGGCACAGTTCTGGTCACAACACAACGACCAATGGCAGGCACTTACCGCCACTTATGTTCCTTGCGCGTTCAAGACACAGCTATTCCCGCAGATTAAGTTGTATGCAAGGGCCAAAAGCGCGGTTTGTGACGCGTTGGTACACCGGTATCGGTTAGAGAGATCGCCATCACCGACGCGTTGTGATTTCAATGGAGGTTCTCTACAAAGGCTGCTAAACTAGAGTGATATAACAGACTCGATCTCATATTAACTCCATCCTCACCCCAACCGTAAGCTGTGCATCATGGCAGGTCTTTTGACTGCTCGCCTTACTATCAAAACGGTATCGCCAGGACAATTCTTTCCGACGACATCTTCGAACGCTATAGTCACTTGGCCACCGCTCACGACTCCCTTTACGACTCCATCTCATTGCACCAATGAATGGACAATCCTTACCTCAGGTGACACGACTGTCGGGAATGTGCCACCCAGCAACTGTTTACCTGGCGGAAGCTATACGCACAGTCCGGGTACAGTGCTCAGTGACTACCACATCGTTGACGTAGCTGAGTATAGAACACCGGGGTGGACAGCAGGCGGACTTCGCGCATGGGGTGCCGCCTGTTGTAAAAAGTACGTCGTACCATGAACCTAGGGCACAGCTATATACAAAAGAGTCATGACTTGAGCAAAGCGCACTTTTGCTAACACCGATGGCAGTGGTTGGACGAACACAGAAACCATCGAGGGCTCCTTTTACTGCTTTTCATCGTTCATCACACCCATCACCGCATTGGACCCGTGGGCTGGAACTGGCCGTGAGCATAAAACCACCACTACCATACTCAGCCGGGGAGAAATAGTAGATAGGAACATGCTTATCTACTGGATGGAGTCCGACTTGTCCAAATTCGATGCCGAGTACGCGGTGACGTTGGAAGAGAGGTTTGCCATCGGCATGAGCGCAGAACCCGCAACTGTTACTGCAGAAAGCACGTCATCTGATTCATCTTTTGCGTCGACTGCAACGATGGCCGTTACGAAAGACACGGCAGCACCGTCAGCTCGAACCCAATTCACCTCGGTAACATTAACATCGTCGTCGTCATCGGTGGCACCAAACTCCAAAGAAAAGGCCGATAACTCCGGGTTTCGGCTCAACGCTCGCGCCAAGGCTGGCATAGGCTTAGGAATCGCCATCGCGGTAATACTGATGGGTATTGCTGGATTTGTAATGTACAGGAAAAAAGTCTTGAAGCAACGCGCCCTTGATCAAAAGTTCGCTAAACAAAATGAGCAGCCAGAGTGGGTGCAAAAGCAGAGGGCTTAGCCGACAGAATGGATGAGGTACGCTCCCTCTACTGGGAAGCCTTCGGATTTACGATTTGCTATAGGCCGATTGTGTTAGAGATGCTTAGAAGAAAGAGGATGAAAGATTGGTGCTGAGTCCATGTGCACCCCGTACAGGAAAAGGCTCAATAGGCCTGCAGACTACATCAAGATGGAATGATGCAGATTGTGTGACCTAACGTTGATATAGGCTTCCCAGGGTCTTCAGGTTTATCCTGGGTTGACATGCATGGGTGGAGGAAGCTTGTATAATGATGGTGGACATTCTCTCTGCAACGCGTACGCAACACGTATCTACTCTCGATGTATTGCTTGCTAAAATCGTAGTGCACAGCAAGGATTGCGCTTTTCAGGCACGCAAGCGATACCGTATCCCGTAACATTGGCCAATGCCGCATGGAGTAGATCCCTGTGTGCTTTCCCGCCCTTTGCCAATCGCCGTCGACCTATTAGAGCCCAGCAATATCGAACGTACAGTTCCTGGACAAAGACGTGGCACGTCCCTCAACGCCCTCAATCCTGCACACATGTGGCACAGCTCCCTTCACAAATCAGATGCGGCTCATCGAGCCACCACGCATAGGGTAGCGGCGCGCTCTTTTACGCATTTGGAACGTCGCCACCGACCCGTTATGAGCAATGTATCCAGCCCTGGCAAATACTTGACGTGGGCTTATTACAATGTTTCTACGTCCATCCGGGAACTGTTGTCCACAGAGTTGCTATCATGTCATCAAACATCGATGATGCTTCTCTTGCCATCTATACAGTATCAGGAGACCAATATCCGCTAGTAAACACATTCAGTACTGTCCCGCCGCTCACCACTCCCTTCACTTTCAAACCGACATGTACCGAAGGCACGAAGTTTCAGGACCCGGGTCAACCCAGCCGTGTCCACAACTTCATTCCCCTCTACTGTCAACCCGATACCACCATGACGCATAGCCCGGGCTCATGTGTTAGGGGCTATCAGATAAAGCAGATAGTCGAGTTCCGAACGCCGGATTGGACGTTGGGCGGATTAAGGGCATGGGGAGCTGCTTGTTGTAGAGAGTACGTGTGATCTTTTGGCTGTCGAGGCGATTACCTCGGATATACACCTGGCCTGGCCTTGACTGGGATTGCTCTTGCTAACACCCTCGATAGTGATTACATGGCAACGGCATCTGACGCAACAGAGTGTGTATCAGCCATAGATACGCCCATCACCGCGTATACCGTGGCAGACGCGACCTTGCCAACGAATGCCGCTGGGCAAGAAATACCCGAGAAACCCTCCATCATCTCCAGCGGCACGGTCATCATGCAACCGATGTTAGTCTACTGGCAAGAGTCAGATCTTGTTCACTTCGATTCCGACTACGCGTCTACACTGGCCTCGAAATTCGATATCGGTTTTACACCAACAGCAACAGTGGGTCCGGCAACAGAAAGACCAAGACAAACGACAGTATCACCGCAATCACACTCCACAAAAGGAACAGCGTCATTGCTAGATCAAACCCAAGCGCTCTCGGTAGCATCGTCACCAGATGCGTCAGCCTCCGAAGCACCGACTAGCCCCTCGAAACCAGGCCTCGGTACAGGCGCCAAAGCAGGCATAGGATCAGCCGCAGTCGTTGCAGCGATACTACTATTGGTCGCCATTGGATTTGTACTATATAAGAGATGGCTCCATAATAAGGCAGGACTAGACGGGAAAGCTGCTGAATTGAATGAACAGCCGGAGTTTTTGGATGCGGATCTGGTGCGTTGGAGAAGAGACAAAGGAATGGGGTCGTGAGTGCGGTTACTATGAATGCGTACGGATTATGTCTCAGAAGAGAGGGGATGCGATATTGCCAGCGAGACCATGCGGAAGGAGGTCGGCGGAGCTTCGCGAGGCGGGTTGAGATGAGGATGTGATGACATACAGGCGCACATAAATGATCCCACTTCTAGTCGCATCTTGCGCGTTTCGGAATATGGCCATGTTGATAGTTTATTACAGTGAGTTGCGACTCGATACTTGTCTTCCTTCATGTCTGCTCGGAACGTAGTTGCGTCATGTGATCGGGAGCCATGCCAACGTCCGCCTTGATATCAAAGCAACAGTAGCTCACCAACCACGTCACCAGGCCCATCGAACCATGCTTGCACCCACGTGAGACCATGAAAGGCGTCGAATAGCGTGGCATGCATCACCCGCAGACGTTTAGCGCGCTGATCTCCCGTCGCGGCATGCGCATCTCCTGATTGGCTACTTTGATCCTACGCATTCGGCATTCTCATTTGCATAGACGTGAACCACGACAGGCGTCATGCTCTCCTCGCTGGCCGTTGTTGTGCTGAATGTGCTGACTATGCTCACTATTTCGTGATATCGTCTACGTCATCACACGCCCAGACTAAACCGCATTGAGCGCACTACGAGACACCTTCTGAAAGCGCGAACGACATGGGCTGGAAGCCGTGGAAGCCGCGATACGTAGCTTCAAAACACAGCCCTGGAGAATTTGAAGACAGTCGCTTCGTTTCCATAGCAGAGAAGCTTCCCCTACCCTTACGGCCCAGCTGCCTTTCTTGTGATTTTCAGCTGCCCACCATGAACTACATCTCAAGTACAATTCCCCTACTACCACAATCCCACCACCCCAAACTAACAACCCAGACCTCGTAAACTCGGACGACATCATCAACCCCCTCATCGACAATGGATACCTCCCCCACCCGGTCATTCGCGTCGGCATCCGGCGGCAACTCGCTGACCGCCTCACGTCTATCGCCAATACCTCTCTCCAAGCGAGCTATGAATCCAAGATGAAATACGTGGAGCTACTCCGCGAACGACCCATTGCCATTGAGACCAAGACCGCGAATGAGCAGCATTATGAAGTCGGAACGAGTGTGCTGAAGGGTATGCTGGGCCCGCGGATGAAGTACTCTGCGTGTTTGTATGAGAAAGGTGGGGAGACGTTGGGGGAGGCGGAAGTCAGGATGATGGAAACGTATGTGCAGAGAGCAGGGTTGAAGGATGGGATGACGGTTTTGGATCTGGGGTGAGTTCTCGTCCTTTTCGTTCTTTTCATCCTCTCCTTCATAATTTCGATCATTTCCGCACTAGATCTCGAAGACGGCATATTACGAACACGAGATATCACGTGCCCCACTAACACCCCCATTCACAGTTGCGGCTGGGGCTCCCTCTCCCTCTACCTCGCCGAAATCTTCCCCAACAGCCGCATAACCGGCTTCTCCAACTCGCGCACTCAGAAACAACACATCGACTCCGTCGCCGCCTCCAAAGGCTTCAAGAACCTCACGGTTGTAACCGGCGACGTGGTAGACCATGAATTCGAGCCTGAGGTCTACGACCGCGTCCTCTCAATTGAGCTCTTCGAGCACATGAAGAACTATTCTTTGTTGATGGCCAAAGTAAGCCGGGCCTTGAAACCAGGCGGCAAGCTCTTCGTGCACATCTTCGCGCACAAAGATACGCCGTATGATTTCGAAGGCGGATGGATGACCGAGCATTTCTTCACGGGAGGTACCATGCCTTCCGCGGACCTCCTCCTCTTCTTCCAGGACGACCTCAAGATTAAGAGACAGTGGTGGGTTAGCGGTATGCACTACAGCAAGACGTGTGAGGATTGGTTGACGACCATGTTGAGCAATAAAGAGAGTATTTGGAAGGGGCTTGTGGAGACGTATGGGGAGGAGGGCGCGTTGACGTGGTGGAATAGGTGGCAGGTTTTCTATCTTGCTTGTTCAGAGTTGTTTAGGTGGGATGGGGGTGATACGTGGGGGGTTAGTCATTATTTGTTTGAGAAGAAGGAGTGAGTTGGTGGAGGTGGGGAGATGGGGTGGGGACTGGGAGGGATGGTAGGAGGGTAATGCTTAATTCCACTCCGATAACAGCTTAGTCGATCCCTTGTTGTAATCTACCAATCATCTCTGGGGGCTCTAGTCTCCTGGCGCCTTTTACACAGGAACATGTCCGTCCAGAGAGCTGGCATTTCGATGGCTTTCTTACGACAATGTAGTGCACATATTCGTAGCCTCCTCACTTCATCTGGCTGGCATCTTGGATCAAGACATGGCTGCATATCGTGCAGCCTACATCTAAATCAGCAAACTTACATATTGCAAGGAGAAAGATAAGTGGAAGATAGTCACTCTGGAGAGAAGGGAAATGATGTTATAAACTTGGAAACGAAGCTAGGTGACGGTGAGGTTCAAGAGGAAGAAGCCCAAGTTTTTGTTCCTAGGGATGTCAGAATGGATGTACATTGGAGTCTGAGTCTGACTAACTTAACAATGTGGCGCCCTTGAGTGCCGTATCTTTATTCACCAGTAGGCACGCTTTCATCTTGCCCTCTCAGTCGTACCCTTCTATGAAGAACTTATACATCTCTACAGCGCGGCTCTAACATTGCCCTCCCTCTCAATCTGCTCCTGATCCATAATGATTACACCCTTCCCCTTCATTGTCCCGCCACGCGCCAACTCCACCAACTCCGCAATCCCAGCCAGCCCTTGGAACGCACACGTCTCCACCGTAATCTCATGCTCAGCAACCAACTCCAACATACGTCTTGCCTCCTCCAGGTTCGCAACCGCCGACCCCCTAACCCTGATATCCCTCAAGATAAGTTCATGGAACGGAACAACCACGCCATCCGGCTGCGCAAGCTGAACCATCGTCCCATGCATCTTCGTAACCGCACAAGCCAATGCAGCCGCCTCCTTCGCATCGCTAACGTTCAGGGTAGCTTCGACCCCCTCATTCCCTGTGCAAGCGTGCACGGTCTTTACAACCTCTTCCAGCCCCGTCCTCGCATCAATAGTAACATCCGCACCACACAGCCGTGTAAGTTCCAGCCCCTCATCCCTCGCATCAATCCCAACGACATTCAATCCCATGGCTTTTGCAAACTTCACTCCGAGATGGCCCAAACCGCCTCCACTACCTACAATGGCAATCCACTCCCCTTTCCGTACAGCCGATAAGACAATTCCGCGATAAACAGTCACGCCCGCACAAGCCAGCGGCGCCGCAGTAAGAAAAGAAACGTTACTCGGTACCTTTGCCGTTTGTCGCGCATCGATCTTGGCGTACTGAGCGAAGAATCCATGGGTCGTTATACCAAGGAAACCACCAGTGTTCTGGCAGTACTGCGGACATGCCGATGCGTGGGGTCCTCCTGTGCATTCGGCGCATATACCGCAGGCGTCATACAAGATCCCGGCCATCACGCGGTCGCCGACTGCGAACTGCGTTACAGACGTGCCAGTCGCTACGACGGTGCCTGCGCCCTCGTGGGAGCCGGTGCAGGGAAGTGGTGTGCCCATTGCGCCTGAAGAGACCATGAAGTCTGTGTGGCAGAGGGAGGCGACGGCGACTTTGACGAGGAGGTCGTGCGGTGCGAGGTTTGATGGAACGGGTATTTCGTGGACCTTGTAGGGTTTGTTGAAGGAGATGACTTGTGCGGCCCACATTTTGGATGGGAGGGAAGGTTTCGTCATGGTGTTTATAGATTGTCTTTTCCGGGGAATCTGGGCCTGCCAGCTTGATTTGAAGGATGGCTTGCTTGGTGGCGATTAGCTTTATGGGCGTTGAGCTGTAACAAAATAGGTGTAGGATCAATCGATGTGTGGTTACGCAGTTCAGAGGCTAAGATGTGATGTTGTTGGAGACCTCGGGAGGGGTAAGTGGTGATGGCGTATATCTTTATCCGGCGCATTCTATCTAGCAAGCGCTATCTAGTATATGTGTAGAACGACAGAAAGTACGAGATCACAACCAGAGACGTCATAGGATGTACCAGCAATGTAAAACCAACTTCGACTTCAAATTGTACACAAACGCGATTATACTACAAGTCTATGAATTACCGAATCAACCCAAAACCCTACCAGCAGTAGAAGCTGTGCTCCTGTCCTTGGTCTCGACCTTCCTCAATCCCTTACCCGCAGTGATCTCTCCAAGTAAAGCTCCACGGTTTGGCGCTCCACCAGGAGCCTTCATGCTAGGCATTGGAGGTGGGGGTGGTGCTCCACCAGCCGGAGGTGGCGGCGGGCCAGGCGGGGGCGGAGGTGCACCGTTCGAGGGCATCGGGGGAGGTGGTGGGATGCCTGCTGGAGGCGATGTCACAGCTGGGCTCTCGGCACGTGGGCTCTTGTTATCCATGGAGGAAAGAGGGCGCGGTGGCGCCATGGTGCCGAACAACATGGAGGCCAGCTGCTTGGCTCCACCTTGAGTAGGCGCTTCGTCGTCGTCGGACGAATCGTCATCTGAGTCAACGACGGACCAGTCATCGTCGTCTTGCCTTCCCAACCTGCGCGCTGAAGGTGCGGCGGGCTCATTGAACGTAGGCATGGCAGCCTTGTTGGCATTTTCTTGTGTCAGACGGTGGAAAGGGTTCGTGGAAACCTCGCTCGTGTTGCTGGGTGGGGGCGGAGGTGTGGAGACGGTGCTGTTCTCCTGGTTGGACATGGCCATCTTCTTCAAGAACGGGTTCTTGGTTTCGGTGTCGCCCATGCCAGGGTGAGGACTAGTCACCGAAGACGTAGGCGGACTGGCAATGGATGATGGTGGTGTGTTGTGCGAGATCTGGGGCATTGGTGGCGCTTGAGGAGGTGCAGTGTCACGCGGCAACTCCTGGCTGGCGGTAGGGGTGGTGTCTTGAGGCGTGATGTTCTGCGGGCCATCATCATCCGACGACTCGTCATCGTCGAGCGCCTCAAGCTGCATCTGCAGTTGACGTTCGCGTTCACGAGCAGCTTCAATCTCCGCACGCTGGGCAGCCAGCCGGGACTCCTTCTCTTTGGCGTCCTTGGAAGCAGCCGCTCTGCGTTTCTTCTCTTCGGCCTTCTTGAGTTTGCCCTGCTGGACTTGCTCTTCGAGGGCGCGAAGTCTGGCTGAAGCAGACTCGCGCTCCTTGGCCAATTCGTCCTCTTGTCTGCGTTCCTCATCCCTGATGTTTGTTAGCGCAATTTCGAAAGATAGATCGAGGTATACGTACTCCATGCGCTTCGTCTCGGCTTCTTGGGCCTCCTGCTGTTCGCGGATAGCCTTCTCAGCCATGTCGTTGTCTACCTTCTTCGACTCTGCTTCCGCTTGCTGAACGTCGTGCTGCGCAATCTCGTTCTTGTTCTTGCGCGAAGCTGGCGGTGGGGGCGCTGGCTTCTTACCACTGCTCTTGGATGGAGCGGGTGGTGCAGCGGATTCGTCGTTAAGACGTCTTTGACGCTCTTCCTCGCGACGCGCATCCTCTTCTTCAGCCTGGCGTAGCTTCTCTTCACGCTCCTTCTTCTCACGGTCGGCACGCTGTTGTGGTGTCTCGCCAGCCTTTACTGGAGCTTTAATGCCCAAGGCAGCCAGACGCTCGGCCATTCGCTGCTCAGCCTGCTGTTTGATGAAGGCCGCACGCTCCTCTGGAGTCTTGTATGCAGAGTACGAGCCGCCAGCAGGCGTAGTTGTTGATGCGCGAGGAGGGGGCTCGACACGACCAGCCGGACTCTCATAGCGTGATGACGATGGTCGGTTGTCCTCTACACGAGCAGCTGATCTAGACCTGTAGTTGTCGCGAGATGAACTGTACGGAATTAGCATGATGCCTCTTGATACTAATCGAATAGTACTTACTCGTCTTTGCGGATACGCGAAGCGCGACTGCTGCGCTGTAGATCAAAGATGAAGTCCTTAACGTCATCTTCAACGCCCAGAGCCTCTTCCCATCTACGACGTTCGTGTTCGCTTGTGTTGTCGTGTCCTCCTTCTTTCAGGCTCGACTCCAGACCCCTTGTGTATTCATTCACGCTGTCTTCGACGTCGCGGATCATGCGCTCATTGTTTTCTCTTTCTGCTCGGATGCGCGAAGTCTCCTTCTCCAAGCGCTCAGTTGCTGCGCCCGTGTCGTCACTGGCAGGGGCAGGCCTTCCTGTCAAGGCAGCAGAGCGTGCTTGCATCATAGCCTTGGCGCGGGCTTTCAAGCGATCCGATTCAGTTACTGCACCGCCAGGTCCAGTGCCCACAATAGTGGATGCAGATCCGGGATGCGCTTTGGCGTCTCTGAGTCTAAAGAGTTCGAGCTGGGCGTCTGCGATTTCACGCTCAGTCCGGCGCACGTTGGACGCGAGTTCAGGCAGGCGATCAGTCAAGGTCTGGAGTTGGCGCTTCAGGGCACGACGCTCCGCATCCGAGTCAGTTGATCTCAACGAAGCCTTAGGGTGAGCATCAATGTCTTCTTGCACCCTGCGAATGCGGCGATAGAGATCTTCAGCCTCTCGGCGATCTCGACGATCGAGCGCATCGTCTTCGTCAGCGGCGTTCTCGTCTTGTGTGTCCATGGCATCCAACAAGATCTGCTTCTCTTTGACAGACTTCCTGAGCTGGTCAAGGGACATTTCATCAGACCGCTCAGAGGATGGTGAAGCCGGCTGCGCTGGTGAAGGTGAGCGACCACCACCTCCAAGGCGATGTCTAGCGCTCGACTTGTAGCCTACGTTATCGTCATTGTTACGGAATACCGTAGCATCCTTTCGGCCACCAGCTTGTGGGCTACCAGCACGGAACGAGTGGGACTTCAGGTAGCTGACGCCAGTGCGCTGGGGCTGGAGGAAGGCACCAGAGTTCTTCCTGTCCTCGGCATCTCCACGCAGCAAGTTCTTCATTGCACCAATAGAGTCGTTGATGTTGCGCGTGGAAGGGGGGACCAACTCCGGGGGGAGACGGGCTGGAATGGGGTAGCCGTTGAGCTTACGGTAGATCAAATGCATAGCAACGGCGAATTGGTCCAAATCAAGACGACCCCTATCAGCAGAATCGGCAAGTGTCCATATGCGCTCCAAATCTGGCTTGGGCAATCCACTCTGTCCAAAGATTTCAAGAGCTTGAGCTCCGCTAATGTAACCCTTGGTCATGCCGTCCCAGGCCTTGAAGGTGTCATCGTACAGCTTCTTCTCTCCCTTTGTAATAGCCCACGGAATGGTCGCGTTGCCGGTCAAACCAGCAGTCGTATGGTTGCCGCCCTCTCGGCCCGTCTGGGGCATCATTCGTTGCGCCAAAGCCTCGATGTTTGGTAGCCCGGTGGCGGGGGTGTTTGCTAGGCCCCATTGGCCAGGCATGCCCGTCGGCTGAGCATTGAGAGGAGCCATGCCGGTCTGGTTGGGTGCGAGATTTGAGCCGAATCCAGTGGGCATAGGAGGCATCGGCGGACGTGGTCCGTTGTAACCGCCTGGAGCCTGCCCGAAGCCAGTGGGCTGTGGCTGCATACCCGTAGGCTGCTGACCGAAACCGGTAGGCTGTGGTTGCATGCCTGTTGGTTGCTGTCCGAATCCAGTCGGCTGTGGGGCTAAAGAGCCCAGCAACTGGCTGTTTGAAGGTTGTGGCTGCGGCTGCTGAATTGTAGGAGGCTCGTTGAACTTGGGGGCGTTGGTGGCCGGCGTTTGGCGGTTCGACGATTCGTCCACGACTCCAAACGATATAATGTCAACCATGCTAGAGACCTCATTCTTGACTCGCTCGGGAAGGGAGTTGGGCAGATCCTTTCCGGTCAGCTTGAGATTGCACAAGTACATGGCGAGGGCGAATTCGGGGAAGAGGAGCTGGCCAGACTTGGTCGTGTCCGCAAGGGTCCTGCATCTGTTAGAATGGGGCCACGTATGCGATTTGTGCAACATACCAGATATGCGAAAGCGCGTCCCCAGATAGCTTGGAGCGCATCAGGAGATCCCGCGCCTGGTCGCCAGACAGGGCCTGGGAGTCTCCCACGGCCGACTTGAACAGCTGCTCGAACTTGGCCTGGTCTTGCGCCGTGATGAAGGAAAGCCTTATGCTCGGGATTTTGCTGCTCTTGGCCGGGACGGGCGGTGGCACGGAAGACGCAGAGTTGCCGCGGAATGAATCAGCCATCTGCGCCGATGTCATGCCTGTAGGCTGCGGCCGCTGCGGTTGGGCAGGCGGTTGCTGCTGCTGCTGTTGCGGCGGCGCGCCAGTCTGGAAGGGCATTTGCTGGGGAGCCTGCTGCTGCTGCTGGAATTGCTGGCTCTGCTGCCCTGGGAAGCCCGTGTACTGCGGTTGCTGCGGTTGCGGCTGCTGTCCGAAGCCCTGCGGCTGGCCCGGGAAGCCAGTAAACTGTTGTTGCATTGGTTGCATTGGCCCTCCTCCGAAGCCCGTCGGCTGAGGTGCCAGTCCGCCCTGGAAGCCGCCGGGCTGCTGGAAGGGCTGCTGTTGCTGCTGCTGCCCATACTGAGGCTGCCCCGGTCGGGCACTGTTCCCACCCCCTAAGTACGAGTTGGACCCAGAGAACATGGTGGGCGAGGTGGCGCGGGTCGATTAGAAAAGGAGAGATGCGCGCATGCGGTGGGAGAATTAGAAAGGTCTAAGGAGCGCGCGCGGGTGGGAATGGTGAAAGGTGGAATGGGGTTGGTTGCGAGTCTGTGCAGCTCGCAGCCCTGGAGATCCATGGGTAGGTTCGCGCTAAGGTCCGTCAGTCGTCATCTTCGAGGACGCGCTTGCCTCCTCGGCAACGGGCGCCCGCCATTCACGACTTCCTGCACCATCTCCACAATGTCGAATGCCCAGAACGGAACCGGCGCTGGTCCGCAGTCACAGGCCGAACTCGCCCAAGTAAGTTTGCGGGAGTCCCTCTGTTCTGAGTGTTAACAGCTCTGGTAGGCGTTCAAGGACCTGCAGCGAGGCGAACAGACCGCCGCCGCCTTGGAGAACCATCTCGATTCGATCGAAAAGCAGATCGAGGCGCTTTTGGCCCAGGCTGAGAAGGCGGAGCAGGAACTGAAAAATACCCCGGAAGAGGACGAGAAGCCTTCGAGCGAAGAAAAGGGCTCTTCATAATGTCTACCCAGAATGCGCCTGCCATAAGATGTATGCGACATACGCTCGGATATACTTTCTTGAGATATGAGAAAGCCGCCACATGACGTACGGGCAACATGACCGACGGACACGAGTTTCACGAGCAATTTGGACGTCGTTGGCGAGGCAGGACATCAGCATACATAATGTGCTCTTAGCAGAAGGGACAGTTCCAAGGATGGATTGATGAAGGACGATTTGCGCTTCCAAATATCCTAAACACTTGTCTATAAGCCACCGACAGTTGAGGGCTTTACTTCGGACCCCTGCGTCTTGAAGACCTCGTCCAAATGGAATACACCATTACTGTCCTTCTCAACCACGCCTACCTCGGTGATGATGCCATCAATGAGCTCCGCAGGCGTGACATCGAAGGCTGGGTTCCACACACCGATACCATTTGCCGCAATGCTGATAGTTTCGACAACACCCAGATCCAATGTAACGCCATCATGTCTAGGTCCCTTGACAAGTGTCACTTCCTGTCCGGGGCGTTCTTCGATGACGATGTCGGCTCCCGATTTGGTCTTCAGGTCGATAGTAGTTCTTGGTGCGGCCACGAGGAACTTGACACCGTGGTGCTTTGCAAGGATGGCTAATGAATAGGTTCCAATTTTGTTGGCGGTGTCACCGTTCGCAGCCACCCGGTCGGCTCCAACCACAATACCCGCGATGTTCTCGCTCTCACCGCGCAGTCGGAGTAACGCTGCCGCCATGGAGTCAGTGATGAGAGTTGCCGGTATCTTGTCGTGAACCAATTCGAACGCAGTCAGCCTAGAGCCCTGGTTGTATGGTCGTGTCTCAGAACAGAAAGCGTGCTTCAAAGATCCATTGCCGTACAGTGAGCGGATTACACCAAGCGCTGTGCCATATCCAGCAGTTGCGAGAGACCTGTAGGATTAGCCGCTGGATGTTGATGATGCAGAATGGTACAAACCCTGTGTTGCAGTGCGTCATCATGCTCACAGGTCCCTTCTTTCCTGCTTCCGTGTTCTTGACTATCCACTCTGCGCCATGCTTGCCGATACTCTCGTTATCGCTCACATCGTCAACAAGCATCTTCTCCGCAGCAGCCACGTACGCATCTCTCACGGCTTCTCCACTCGCTTCCTCAGTTGCAGCAGCTTCCTTGGTAATCTTTCGAAGTTTGCCTGCTGCATCTGCAAGGTTGACGGCAGTTGGTCGGCTGGTCACAAGGTAGTCCAGCTTTTCTGTAATGAAGATCTCGACCTCCTCAGCTACCGAGGAGAGCTTCATGTTGGTGAGTTCAACTGCGAGGGCGAGAGCAGCGACTATGGCGATGGCCGGTGCACCTCGCGTCCGCATCTCTTTGATGGCGTGCCATGCATCAGTGCTGGAGTAGATATGGTCATATTCTTCGGCATGCGGTAATTTCAGCTGGTCCAGAATCTCGAGCTGGCCTCGTGAGTATTTAATCGCCTGGAGTACCATTTTGAAGGATTCGTAGAATGGTGTGTCACTTGAATGCGTGGCAGAAAATTTCTGGATGGTGAGCGTTGGGTGTCAACAGCCCCATCGCGGGCCCTGACGCTAACACGTGGGAGCCGCTCAACCCAGGCATGCGTGCGGCCTCATCTAGGTTACACGACATACCCGCACAAAACATACACGGCCCACCGCCTGGCATCGATGCATCGCTGCTACTCCACGATCCCTAACTCTCGACGCTTCGGCATGACGGCACACGATGACGAAATTTAGCCACGTGTGGCTCGGTGCCAAGGCTAGCTCCAGCCACCAAGCAACGCACCTGCCGGTATAGGCCACGGCCTCGCTGTTCTAGCCGGACCAACATGAGCTGGCCGTATTGATAATCCACATGCATCGAGTAACGGTTTGTATTAAAGGAGGCGCACATGACTTCTGTAATCAAACCTTTCATCTTCACTCGAAAGTACCGGATTGCAGCCCTACGAGAGCCGCAAAAAAGGGTCCGTCAGCTGCAAGGAACCGGCAGTGAATTGACCGCGGTTGTCCCATGACGACGCCAACACTCGGACTTCACGCATATACCTACGGCCCTCTGCGCCCAATTGCTCCTCCGCACCTCCGCTTCCGCTCACCCTCTAGATATCCCTAGTTGTTCGTCGCATAAGAACTGTGTTGTCCAACCAAGACGTTTTCGGTAACCACGCCCGTCTCTAGTTCTTCCCGATAGGCGGAGAAAAAGACCCACATCCTCACTATTTATCTTCCCCAACACCACACGCAGCGCAAGCCACCCAGCCAGAGAACATTACTGTGCACATGCGCAGACCAACCAATCACCGCATCCTACATCGCCTTACCTCGCCGTGCTTTACTGGACCCTCGTAGTTTGGGCCCGAAATCGATTGGAAGGTCAGACGAGAGAAATCGCCACGCCTCGAACAACCCCGCGCAGCTTTGCGCCAGTTATATAACGATGCCCCTCATGCCGCGCTCCAACTCGAGCGTTGGGGTAAGCACCGCAGTCATGGCCTCCCAGGAAGAGCCCATACAGCCCTCGTACCGAGGCTACGGCACAATGGCTTCCCAGCGACCTGCGCAACGCCAAAGACGACACTCATGGCACACTCGCCCATGCATGCAGGAAGCAGAGAACTTCCAGGTCTTGGTAAGTTATACTGGACATATGCGCTCAACAGTTTGTTGACAACAACGACAGCTCCGTAACTTTCTCGTCGAACTGAACTGCCGCATGGACTTTCTGGAAGACTATGGCCACCTCAAATACGATGCCGGAGTCGAATACGCATACAACACACTGCTCGCCGTCCGCGAGTCCTGCTCGAAAATGTCCGATGGCGCAATCGAGGCCGGACGGCGGCAGGCTTCTGTCTTCGTCGAGACCTTGGAGGGACGATACAAAGATGCGATGGAACGGAAGGAGACATTCGGGGAGAAAGTCCTAGAAGGAATAGTGCTCATGGACAACTACCTGACCGAGTTTGAGACGCGCGCATATGCTATAAGAGACGGATCCATTGGCTCCTATGCGCAAGAAGTCTATGAGGAAGGTCGGAGAAAGATGGACGAGGGAATCGAAATCGCAAAGGGAGTGGTAGACGGCGGTCTCGACAAGGCAAGACGCGCACGTGAAACGATCGAACTCCGAGTTGAGCACGCTGTGCAACAAGCCCTCGAGCGAGCAAAGGCACACGGCCTGATACGCTACGATGACCTGCCCGAGCCCTGGCGAGTCAACCCACACATCCTCAAGGGCTACCGCTTCCAAGAAGGAAAGTGGGCTTGCGTCCGATCCATCTTCGGCCTGCACAACGAGCTGATTAATATCTGGACACACCTTCTCGGATTCATCATGGTGCTCGCCATTGCCTTTTACTTCTATCCTTCGAGCACCAACTTCAGCATGTCGACCAAAGCCGATATCTTCATAGCAGCAGTCTTCTTCTTTGCGGCATGCAAGTGTCTGGCCTGCTCGACCATCTGGCACACCATGAACAGCATCTCGCACCAAACGCTACTCGAGCGCTTCGCCTGCGTAGACTACACGGGCATTTCCCTCCTCGTCGCCGCATCCATAATGACGACCGAATACGCCGCTTTCTACTGCGAACCCGTCTCGCGCTGGTCCTACATGTGCATAACAGCACTGCTCGGCATCGGCGGCGTCATCCTACCCTGGCACCCAACCTTCAACCGAGCCGACATGGCCTGGTTCCGCGTCCTGTTCTACTGTTCCCTCGCCCTGACTGGCTTCTTGCCTTTCGGCCAGCTCGCCTACACTCGCGGCCTCGAGTGGGCGCAGTACTTTTACGCGCCCATCACTAAGAGTCTACTTGTATACGTTACCGGTGCGTTACTGTACGCGAGCAAGACGCCTGAGCGCTTCTTCCCCGGCCTTTTCGACTACGTGGGCTGCTCGCACAACATCTGGCATGTTGCTGTGCTGGGAGGTATCATCTTCCATTACATGGCTATGCAGACTATGTTTACGCAGGCTCTTACGAGGGCTCAGACTAGCTGCTCTGTGTACTAGGAGCATCTTCTCATGACGCCTTTCTCCATACCTCTTACTTATCCTTTCTTCTCTTTCCCCTTCTTCCTGTGGAGCGTTCGGCATTGTGGAGCGAGTTGGTTGTTTGCATTGGGTAGGCGTCTGACCTATAGATGTTGAGATGATGGGTAGATGAGAAGGGTCCGGTCGGCGGATGCCATGCGGGACGCTGTATCTGAACTCATATAGACTGTCGATAATTACTACATCATGAATCCCTGAACATTCATCCCAAATTCCGCCTAACAATGTGCACCTTCTGTACGAGCCATTCATTTCTGCACCTGTAACCTTTGAATCAGACACAACACGCCGGGTCTAATGTATGCCTTTCGTCATTATGACTCCCAAATGCTTCTCTAGATAGAACTACCTACCTAACAATCCCTAAACGCCATTCGCTATGCAGACAACCCATTTTGGCCCTACGCGCATCCCCATCTAATGACTATCAGGCACATCCGGCAACCTCTCAATAACATACTTCCCCTTCGCCACACTCACAATCGGCACACCAGGAATCTTCCTAATCCTCCTCTTAAGATCCCGATCATTCGTCGCAACAAGGTAAATCCTATGCTTCTGCACGCGATCCACAATACAGTCGTCCGCATACGTGCCCTTGTGCTCGCACTTGAGCCGCTGCCAGCGCTCGTCGCGCGCTATGCGCAGCGCGATGCGGTATTTTGGACCGAGTTTCTCGAGCTCCGCCATTACGCAGGTGGTTATTATGGGTGTGGCTTTGGCGTAGAGAAGGTCCATGAGCGCTTTGTCGAGCTCCAGCTTGGCGTGTACGGTGTGCGAGAGGAAGTTTGTGTCGACGAGGACGGAGTAGGGGGGGCCGAGGGCGGTGTTGGCTTGGAAGAAGAGGGCGGAGGAGACTTGGGGGCTGGAGGGTGTTAGTTGGAGAGAGGATGGTGGGGCTGGGCGGTGCGCGTTGGCGGTTTTGTCTGGAGCTTACATTTCTCGCTTTGCCTTGTTTTCTTCCTCTTTCTTCTTTGCTTCTAGCTCGCCGGCCATTTGGTTCTTCTTACTGGAGCAGTATCAGTATTGTTGTCGCGAATGGTATTGGGGAACGTGGTCGCATACAGTCGTGCATCTCGTTGGCCTGGGTACATTAGTGGGAGCTCATCCAGAACATATGCTGACCATACCGACTATCCTCTTGGTTTGCGCAAACTTGCGCGTCTTCTTCTGGACTCCCATAGTTGCTGAGTGCAGGGCTCGTCCGTTCGCGCGCAAACTTAGTCGATGTGTGAAGGCCTTTTGTAGATTTCTGCGCGGCAGGCGATATGGGTCGGACGTCGCGATAGCTTGCGCAGGGTCGGGATTGGGGTCGTGTCGTGGTGGTGAATGTTCGCATACCACTTTTGCTATCGATAACGCGGGCAACTTTTTGATGCCAAGACATCCAAAGTCGTCAGAGCTTTTCATAGCCAAAGCACCTGCAAGCAGAGCAATCATTTATCAAGCAGAAATCCAAATCTTACACTTATTCTAAAGTACTTCTTAAGCGCCTCTAGCCTCTCTCCTTCGCTCTTAAACTTAATCTCTTTAGTCTTCTTGCCTTTTATGTTCCACTTCAGCGAAGCCGCCGCTAGGCTTATCTTGCCTTTAAGCTCCCCATTATCACCGAGTAGCTTCTTGTCCGCTACCACCATCTGCGTGAAGGCCTAGAAGCCGATAGACAACTTATACAAACGAGTTGCGGTTGTGGTTGTAATAGGCGGCATTGCTTTTGTTGATATTCAGCTGCATCAAGACGTATAGCATTTGAAGACAAGCACTTCGCTGTCGCTCTTGTGGTGTACCGGGTACCGCAACACACAGCTGGAGGTATTCTTGGCCCGTAAAAGGAGGATGGACGCGTGCTCTCATCGCTGTCTCGACTTGGGCACCCATGTTACTAGCTTGAGTCGCTTGGCCTAGGCGTAAGGCATCGCCTGGATGGAGAGTACGGGCGTTATTAATGAAGTTGCCTCCTATTCGGTACCAAGATTCGAAGTGGTCCACGATATTCTGCGCAAGGCCAACCCGTCGCTGGAAAAAGAAGAAGGTGAAGCGGAGTAAAGCTTGCGTGGACCATCGATGAAGGAAGTTCCGCAGACCACATAGCGCGGTTGAGAGGCCGTCGTAACCTCGGACTAACATGTCGATGTCCGTGTTTGGGGCTTGACGACCGAGGCAGATGAAGAGAGGCAAGAATTTGAAGCCCAGTGGCCCTTGTGGATTGGAAGGTATGTCGTGTAGAGAATCTGGAAGTTGTTAGCACAAAATCACCCTGGTACTGGGCAAGAAGACATACCCATGTTCTTTATGTGAACGCACATAATCTCATCAAAGACACTGTATGAGAACCCGACCCAACGTAGAGCATACACCAGACTCTCCAGCAATACAGTGCGCATGTCGATATGGTTCCTTGTCTCTCGCGAAAAGACTATTAGTTTCTTCTTCGGGCCCGACGGCCCTGGTCCAAGCGGATGTACCAACCGCGTTGGATGCTTGAATGACACTGCAGCTGAGAGCAGCCCTTCTGTGAGGAGAGCAGCTATGTAACGTTAGCATACATCTATGTTACGCTAGTTGCATGAATAACTTACTGCACCCTAACAGTTTCTCGAACAGCGCAAAGTCCCCGATGGCAATTCTGGATCGATCTATGGGAGCCGGAAGGCTCGAGATGGCAGCTTGGAAAGCGCCCATGAGCTGTTGAGCTGCAGCGGGTGTGCGATTATCGGGCATAGTCACTGCTGTAGTCGCTGATGGTATGGGGTTGGGTTGGATTGGTACTATAGATATGTCAGAGCTGCTGCTGAACGAGAATGGTATTGTGAGTAAGATTACCTGGTGCGGATGCTGGCGTGGCGAAAGGTAAATAGAGTCTGTGGCCGCTGGCGGTATGAGTCCATCCCCAGTAGCCACCGTTGCGAGGAGTTATCCATAGTCTGCCCCAGCTATCGGCAACAGGTGGGCCGTTCTGAATAGGTTGACCATGGGGCCATGATAAAAGACCTAGTTGGCTAGCAGAAGGTCGTGATGTGTTACCGGTTGAGTCGGGTGGATTGAGATCCGGCCAATTTGCAGGGCGTGGTAACTGACTTCGATTAGCAGAACTTGGCTCCTGCCCGCCGATCGGATAATCATAGGCGGTCGATGGAGATGTTAAACCTGAATTCGCGGATGGAGTTGCCGCAAGTGTTCTGGTTGGAGCAAAAGTGGTACGGGGGCTAGGTGAAGTACGGGTTAGGCCTGGGGATGATGCAGGATTCGGCGCTGTCCTCAATGTTAGTGATGTTGGAACTGGTAATAAGTTAGAAGCGACTCACCAGAACCATGGCTACCACTTTTCTGCTCTGGGGACTTCTGGGGTGTCTTTGGTGGTTGAGCAGGAGGAGAGCCCTGGTTACTTGGAAGTTGAACCGGGGGAGCGGGAGGAGCAGGAGCAGGAGCAGGAGCTTGGGGAGTTGGAGCTGGAGGAACAGAAGCTGGACCTTGACTTGAGAGGTTGTTCCTAAGCTGCTCCGCCCTTTTCGCAGCTCTTGCGTTGTTCTTGATCGTCGCCTTGGAGTCTGGTCGTCGTGGCGGCATGGTGAGTGGTGGGCCGGATGTTGAAGCTGGATGCGAAAGCAAGTAGATCAAAGCAGCGGGTGCGAGAGAGAGAGAGAGAGAGAGGAACAGTCGAGGGCGGAGACTATATCAATCGGCGGGGTCCACTAGCGTGCGCTTGCGCAATCGCGCAGTTGACGCAGTTGACAAACGGTGACGAAGTGAAGGTGACAGGGAATGAGGATTGAGTGGTTGTGAATCGTCAGGCTCGCAAACACGATGGATGAGCGGTAGGTCTGGCGCCTCTTGCAATTTCTGCGCAAGGGGTGATGGTTATTGGTGTCGTCGATTTTTGGCCCGTTCTCATACCTTCACTTCACTGTTGGATCGGTGAGAAGGCTGTTGCAATTGCGAGATCTAGTAGATTTAGCGGTACTCAGACAAACGACATGGAAAATCATCTGACCATCGATTCCTGACACACTGAAACCTGGATTTGAACGTGTTATGTGGGTGAGATGTAGTAGCCTTGCTGACGTTTGGTTTTCTAAAAGCCCCAAGAGTGCGCGCAGAATACACGCTTTGAGAAAGAAGTGGAGTAGCACGCGCAAAGTTTGCTGTTGCTGAGTAGAATAGAGCGTGTAATATGGCGAGCTCTGTTGGATATATAAAATGTGGGAAGAAGACAAGATCCCTGCAGTATGATCCATGTTAATAGAGCAACAAATTTGGTGAGATATGACTGTTGGCCAGAGAGAGGTGTTGGTGAGTTATGACTTTCGTCGAGAGTGATATGTTGGCGAAATATTAATAAGAGAGGAATGTTGGCGACATGGATGTGTTGACGTGATATTAACGAGAGAAAGCTGATGCAGCTTTTCCCTTCTTGTATTCTATTGCGGATATATCGCTTTGGTCGTTGAGCTTCTTAGGAGTTGGCCGTGCAGGTGAAGAATCTCTGGGAATGGAATGTGATTTGTCGAGTTTGATTGAAGAGAGCTGACACAGCTTCTCCTGTGGTTTGACAATTTCAGCCTGTTGGTGACGTTGCGCGAGATGAAGGGCAAGGTTGTCTATGTTCAGAGTCAGTTAAAAGGCAATCACAGCACAGAAGCTTTGTCCTACCATGATTAGAGCGGTAAAGGGAGCTGTTAATAGAGAAGGCAGTATGCTTGATGTAATGAGCATGCCACGACATATCAATAAAGATCGGACTTGTGGCGGATAGTGACAGTTGCTAAGAAGAGCTGATGCAGCTTTTCCTTTGCAGTTTGTACTTGGCGCTGTCTGCGCATATAGCTATGAAACTCTTGAATACGAAGATGTTGATCATAAAGACGTAGGCAATAGGACCAAAGAGACGGATGAGACTGTTCTAGGGAGAGCTGACACAGCTTTTCCCTTGAATCCATTCTCAAGTGCGTCAGGATTCGTCGTTGTCGGTGTTGGGGAGCGATTGCCGAAATTGACTAAGGAGAGCTGACACAGCTTTTCCTTTTGTTCGACACTGTCCGCTTGTGGGAGATACTGGCGGTATGTCCGGGGTGACCTTTGTTGGAGTGGGGGAAGTTCGGCAGTAATCATGAACTGTGACTGGTAGAGGGGATCCGCCGCACACATATTCTCCAGATCGGTGATGCGGCTGATGGCAAAGAAGGCCAACATGCGATTTCCTCGGATTGTATAGTATGGCGAAGGGTCGACGGTGGACGACAGACGGTGACTAAGGAGAGCTGGCACAGCTTTTCCCTTGCTTCTGTCCACATTGCTAGGCCGTCGAGAGATGGATAGGGCACGTCGGGAGAGCTGAGGCAGCTTTTCCTTCCGTACCCATGCACACTGTTGTTGTCGCTGGATATAATGACGTTGTTGCATTTGATGTTAAAAGCCTGGGTTAGCGAGAGATGTGGTACGTCGGGAGAGCTGAGGCAGCTTTTCCTTTCGTACACATGCCCGCTGTTGTTGTTGTTGTTGTTGTTGTGACTGAGTGTAACGACGTTAATGCGTACGTTAGGAGAGCTGAGGCAGCTTTTCCTTCCGTACACATGCCCGCTGTTGTTGTTGTGACTGAGTGTAACGACGCCGATGCGTACGTCGGGAGAGCTGAGGCAGCTTTTCCTTCCGTACACATGCCCGCTGTTGTTGTTGTGACTGAGTGTAACGACGCCGATGCGTTTCATGTTGAAGGCTGGGGCGAAGAGCAGGAGATTCGGCACTTCGGGAGATCTGATGCAGCTTTCACGTCTGTCTATGGTAGGGACGAGGTTATTGGAGAACGAAGTCGTGCACTGTGCACTGCCGTATTAGCATGTTGTTCTCAATTCCCCCTCAAGCCAGAACATACCTACGAGCCGACCAAGGAAGGTGCGATGTAGCAAGACATACTCGACAAATTGATATGCAATCAATAATGCCGTATGTTCCAGTGCAGACCAGATACCAAGAAGCCGGCTTTGGAACAGTTTTCGAGGTGTTGAATCGTGGTGATGTGGGGTATCAGAGTCAGTGATGAGTTGAGGCAGTCGCCTTTCTAAAATGTGAGAGATCTGGGAAGGAAGGAGCGCAAATTTTCATCACGACGAGCCAAAACGAGCGTCAACCTAGATATTTCTTTCATTCCATCTCGTTCCCTTTCATCTCATCTTATTCAAGCACAATGGCCGCTCAAAACGCATCTTCGCCTTCGGGCATTCCCGAAACCCATTATGGGGTTTGGCACGACACGCTCGAAGTCCCCCCGACTATTGGCACATTGAATTTCGCACTAGTTGCAGCGATAAATGCGGATACTACAGACGTAGTGCCGCAGCGGATTACGAATAAGGGGAGTTATGGTCACTTGCGCGCGTGCCCGTGGATTGGGTGCGGCGTTGTAGGATCTGATGTGAAACGCCATCTTCGGGACTTTCATGACGAGAAATCCCCAAACGTCATAGTAGGTACCTTCTTAGCATCTTCTTTCTTGTACTTGATGACTCTACGTGCACATCTTCTCTACCTTACACTACGCAACATTTTTTGTTTACTTTTATTCTTTTTCTAACGTATCAATATAGTGCATCAACTGCGACGCAAAGAATATTACGTGCGACCGACCGTTCCTCGAGGCTGATGACAATTCTCCCTGCACAGCGTGTCTTCGCGGTGGTTACACTTGCGTTAGCCGAACAAAAATCGTGAAACGCGGTGGAGAACTAGTGCAGTTGGACGAGCCTGCTGCCAAGCGCCTGCACTAGGAGGATCTGTCAACGCTGGCCCTGCATACAGGCCGTGTTTTTCCTGCATCCCTGAGCCAGCAACGAGGTGCAGACGTCAACAATCGGCTGCTCTGAAGAGGCCTGACACGCGGACGACTCGATCACCGCGAAGAAAGCACCAGTTTCCATTACTACACTTTTCGATTTTCGATAAATCCCCATCGCTAGTCTGCGGCCACCCACACATCACGCGAACGGGGCGCTCAGACTGCGCGTATTTGCCCAGCGGGTCCTCGACTCCGCCCCTTGTTACCCTGACCCCGTATCCGTCTTGCACTCCACCATCAGCATTTCCTCTCGTTCCCCGTCACTCGTTTCGGCGCTTCTCTGTCCTATCGATATCCCCAGCGACTGCCTCCCCTCGTCGTTTCACTGCTTTTCTTTCACCAAACGATTCCTGAAACACGTCTGTTGGAGTACACGAGCCTTGAACACCGGTTCTCCTGAGCCTTTTCGAAGACTGCCCAACGGCAACCCTACCTCCGCACACACCTATACACCACAACCACGATGCGGCCTTCCGTCGGCTTCGTGGGGCTGCTGCTCGTAGTCGCACCCACAGTCCTCGCCCAGATCGAGAACGCACCCGAACTCAACACCGTCGCGCCCGGAGGCGACGCGGCGACGAACACAGCCGAGACCTCCGCCGCCGAGACAACACAAGCAGCGACAACGAACGCTGACGAGACTGCTGCCACATCACAAGCCGCCACCACGGAAACCACCGAGGCGGCAACCACTGCAGATGCGCCCACCAGCGCGGCCGCCCAGACAGGGTCTACAAGTGTCTTCAACCTCGTAGGCGCACCAACACTGGCTGGTATCGGTATCCCAGACATCAAGGTTCCCGACACAGCCGGCGCTGCCTTTATGCAAAAGTCCGATCTCCCCGATGGAACCGTCTTCATATGTGTTGGTGCTATCCTCGCCTTCTTCGGTGCGGCAGTGCTGGCGTGGCGCGGTCTCGTTGCGTGGTCGTTGCATCGTTCCGTGAAGCGGGCGGCCATGGCCCAAAACCTGGCTGATATCAAGGCCATGTCAGCAGTGCCTGGCAAGAAGCGGGGGATGTACAATGTAGTAGGAGCAAGCTCGACCATGTCCCTGGATCACCTGAACGCCGCCCCCATTGGCAAGTCAAACAAGGCCTTCAAGGGCGCGGCTGCCAACACAGCACAGCAATCGCAATCCTCTCTCTTCTTCTCCCCAACCGCAGGTGGCGCCGCGGGTATGCGAGATTCCGTCCACGTAGCTGGCAACCGATCCTCCACCTACCTGCCCGCGGGATACTACGCCTCTGGCAACGCAGCACCCGCCGCCGGATCACCACAAATGCACATTGGCAGCCAGAACCCCAACAATCTTTCTGCCCTCTCCCTCTCCACACCAGGGAACCGTTTCAGCGCGAGATCCGGCATGTCGCCACCAGAATCGCCGTCACTCCCTCCATCGCGAGGAGGCTACGCCCGCGCACCACCATCACGAGACGGCCTCTCCAACTACAACCGCAACAGCGTCGCAACCCTCGGCCACCAACCCGGCACCACAAGAAGCCCCGTCTACGGCCAGGACAACAACACCGTCAGCCAGTTATCGCTCAATGTACCGGGCGGCACGACTGTCCCTGGTGGCCGCACGCCGAGCGGATACCTAGACGACCTCTTTGAAAACCACGGCAACGGATCCAGAGAACGATTCTAGTTGGATCTCGAACAGCAGCCCGCAAAGCAGCGTGCCGTGAGCGCGTCGTGTTGTAGCCAGCAAAATGGTCCGTCGGCCGTGTATCGTTTTGCGTATGCGCCGGGTGTTGTGGCTCGTGCTAGAGCCGTGTCTGCGAGCACGATATCCATAATAGAAGATTACTACCGGGTATGAGTTGTGCGAGTACCACGACGGCAAGAACGCATTATTGAGGTTGTTGTCGAAAGTCAGAGAAAGAGAGAGAGAGAGAAGGAAGAAGCCAGCAAAGAGCGGTCTTGTCTTGTTGAACATCTCTTTGCTCATGCATGCCCATTTTCGCGCGTGCACGTTTTTTTTCCGTTTTCTTGCTTTTGGGATTCACGGCCGCAAGCTTGTGATACCAACATTATGCCGGTTTTGGCTTTTCTTTTTCTTGTTCGTTCTCTGCATTTGACTGTGGTACTGTCGGCGGATTTCTTCGCCGAGTCTACCCCATCTGCGGTCTTTTACTACTATCTCTTTTTTATTATCATGGCTTCTCTTATTATGAATGTAGGGTAGTTGCGCTCCTCCGTTGTTACTGGAGTTAGACAGGCGTTACAAGAATCTGCGAAAGGGAGAGTGCATCAGTTTCTAGCCGTTTGGCCACGGCATAGTCGTCGCGTTCTGATGGCTCGTTTTGAGCGAAGAGACAGTGGTATCTACTATTGTAGATGTAGATTTTGCATATTAGACCCTATAATGAAGTACTATTAAGCAAGAAAACAATCGACGTCTCGGTTCAGTGTGGTGACAGTGGTGAGGAGGAAGGAAGGAAGCAGCGTGTGCTGTGCTGTGTGTTACGGTACTGCCGGTACTGGGTAGCGCTGGCGCTGGGGCTATCGTGCGGAGTTTGTGGAGTACAACATGCGATATGACGTCCTGGTGTGTACATCGTGTACTTTGCTAATGCGTATTCGTTTAGCTATGTGGATGCACGGGTAGTACGGGTAGCATCACCTTAGATCACAGACGAGGCATAGACAAGTAAAGGGCTTTGACAATATTGAAAGCCAGTTTTAATGCGAAGCACACCCTTATGGTTCATCTATATCTTACACAAATGCATAGTCCAGTACCCTTTTTGTCTATCTACCACCAAACATCGATGCTAAATTTTGCAACGCTACGGCGTTGTGGCGTTTGTGTACATACGGCTACCTCGCCTTCTTGGCCATGGCCTTGCGTTTCCTCGCCTCGCCATTGAGGTTGGGCGCGGTGGCGTTCTGGATGGCGGCCTCCTCTTCAGTCAGGTTGGATGTCTCGACCAGTGGCTTGTCGAGCAATTCCTTCTTTCCGAGGATGCGGCCGGCGGTTTGGTTGTAGGCGAACATGGGGAGCTTGAATAGGAGGGTGTCGTAGATGGTGGGCTGGGGCTCCTCGTCGGGCTGGATGCTGTTAGTGAATGCACTGTGTTGCAAAGCTGGATAGGTGTACGTACGTCGACAAGGTATTCGCCCTTCATGCCATCCTCGTTCTCAACTTCCAAAAAGACGTTGCCGACGGAGTCAACGACTAGGATTTTGCCGTTCTCAGAGACGATGCGCTTCTTGGCTCCCTGGGGACCGGAGATGACCTCTGCCTCGACCGGGGTGCTGATGCCGTCGTCGCGCGCCTTCTTGGCAGCTTGCGCCTTCTTGGGTTTCTTCGCATCCTTCTCCATGGCGCGTCGCTCGCGACGGTTGCGTGGGCCAACCTCCTCAGGGGTCTCTTCGGCGGTTTCGTTCTCGAACTGCTGGGCGTTCACGGGGGCAGCACCAGCATCAACACCAGGAATGCCCTGAAGACCGCTCTCGTCACCCCAAGCAGTCTTGCGCGCCTGGCGGACGAACCTCTCGGCGTAGTCCCTGCGGCGCTTCCATCCCATGACCAGGGCGAAGTAGTGGAAGCCTCCACCAAGAACAACGAGTAGACCGAAGATGACGGAGCCGAGGCCAGGGCGGAAGCGCTCGTAGTAGTAGCCAGAGCCCCTCCATGCTGGGAAGCCGTTCCTCAAGAAGTGATCGTAGCGCTCGCGCTCAGGACCCTTGAGCAGCTTTCCCACGACCGAGAGACGCTGGTAAGCGGCGGTGACCTTCTTCAGGTGCGCGTCGGTCTCCTTCTTGGACGGCTTCTTTCCCGCTGGGTTGGTCTTCGCATATTCGGTAACAAAGTTCTTGCGGGCCTTGTCCGGGTGGAGTTCGCGCGACTTCTTGCGGAGGGCCTTGGTCAATTGGTCTTGGGACGCGCTGGGCTTGACGCCGAGGAGATCGTAGAAGGTGATGTTGGCACCGTCTGCTTTGGCGACCTCGTCACGGATGCGGAAGATTTCGTGGTCTGCAGTGCGCTGTCAGCAAGTAGCTCGCAGTTGCAGTTGCAGCTGGAGCTGGGGAAATGCATGTGGGGAAGGCGCATATGTGGCCGCAAGCATGCACTTGAAGACGACATGCAATTGGAATACGCACCCTCTTTGGTCCAGGCAGCGGCGAATGCTGCAAAGAGGCACAAGACCAATGCGAGCAACGCGTGAGATCTCATGGCTGGGGTGGATGAAGTTTGGCTGGTCTGCGAGCAAGTGATAGGGAGGCTGCAGGCTTGTGCCGCCAGATGTCCAGTAGTGCCGCGAGTGACGGAACGTGGCCCAATTAGTCTGACCGCTGTCGACGGGACACAGGTGTAGCAGGCCTGCGCGATAAAGAGGCTCTCTTCGCAGTGCAGTCACTCTCCGCTTTCACTCCAAGTCTCTAAGATTGAAACAAAAAAATGTGGCCTCTTCACGACTTGCATGTGAGACGCGGCTGAGCGTGTGGCTGTGGCTGTGGGCAGGCGCGACCCTGAACTACGGGATTCGCGGCAGGGGCCAACAAAAGTTCCCATACGGTCAGCGACACGCAACCTCCTCAACAACTCGACTTGCACTCCATCTACACTCACTTCAGCCGCGTCAGCGCATTCACTCTCTCGCGACTCTTTCCCATCCACGTAAGGCAGCCATCTACTACATACAATTCCACCTCCTGCCCCTCTAGAGGACACATCTCCAGCCTCCCCTCGATCTCCACCACTATCAGCAGCTGAACTGACCATGTCTTCCCCTAAAGATCTCGAAGAACAACAGCAGACCCTCATTACCCCCGACCAGCGCCAACAAACACCACCCCCCGAAATCACGACCCACACGCCTTCCGTCATGTCTCGCTTCAGCATCCCCATCGATGCCCTGACATCCCGGATGAACTTGGGCGGACGCTTCGACAGCATCCGCTCCACTTCAGTCTCGTCGCGATTCGCCAACCTGCGACCCATCTCCGAGTTCTTCGACTTCAAGCGCATCTCCAAGCCCGCCAACTTCAGCGAGGTTCAGAGCAGGGTCAACTACAACTTGGGCTACTTCTCGAGCAACTATGCCGCTGTCTTCGTCATGCTCAGCATCTACAGCCTGCTCACCAACTTGATGCTACTCTTTGTCATCATCCTTGTGGTCGGTGGTATGTTTGGAATCGGCAAGCTAGAGGGCAATGATCTCCAGCTCGGTAGCTGGCGCGCGAGCACCTCGCAGCTGTACACTACGCTCTTCGTCATTGCGATTCCCCTCGGACTCTGGGCCTCGCCCTTTTCCACTGTTCTCTGGCTCATCGGCGCAACTGGCGTCACCGTCGTGGGCCACGCTGCATTTTTGGACAAGCCCATCGAGTCAGCTTTTTCCGAGGAGGCGGTCTAGGTGGTCGGCCGCGAACTCCTCCTTACACTATGCCCCGCTGGGGAAGACCACCAGGGGGCTCGTCGGGTGTGGGGAGATACTACGAGGGGGGACAGAACGACGTGCACAGGTTTCAAGAATTGGATAGCGACGATGAGAAGGGTGGCGTTGTATTAGATCAGGCGTTTCAGCCGGCTTTGAACGGCAGGAGCATCAATCCGGATGAGCTTTACTTTAATGATATGGATATTAGAGCCTGGGAGGGCAGGGCAGCAGCTTTGGGTGAGGCAACATACCAGGATCGTGGTCATCAACAGGACTATGATGAGTATCTCGGCGACGACTTCGATACTGCTGAATACGAGGAAATGCTATTCCGGCGCGTACTCGATAAGATTCGGATAGCAAGAGCAGCGGGTAATCCAAACGTATCACTTAGTCCAGAAGAGTTACGCGCGTATGATTCACGACTTTCCGGACCAAGGACAAGAGCAGTTCGCCCTGAAATCCACTCTCGGCCGAACAGTGCTTCCTACCCCAACGACCCCACCAGTGTGGTTAGAGACGATGCGACTAGCAAGCACGGCAGTACTTCCAGATCGAAGAAAGATCAGAAGCGAAGTTCAATCTTTGGATCAAAGTCGAAGGAGAAGCCCAGCAGTCGCAAACGTACATCTACCGTATCAACCACAGATAGCCGTGCACCGCCACCCGGCTTCGTCATACCTGGCCCCGACGGACAGTCTGTGTATGCGCCCATCAATCCTTACCAGGGTAGCCTGGAACGGGAACGGGAATCTCCACGTCCAGCGTCCCGTTCCGCGTCTGATGCTAGTCACTACGTCCCTTCGCCATCGCACGCCAGCTTTTCTCGAGAAATGCTCGGCGCCTTTCCAGAATCTGTGGTTGATTATCGCCCCGCCACACCTCCACGGCAAGGTCGTATATCCTCTCGACAGGCTGCATACGAGGCTGATCTGCCACACGGGTCACGCACAAGATCGTCTTCCATTCAATCCGCTGGGCTTGTACCGTTCCCTGTGGAGCCTTACCAGTATCATAACTTCAGCCCTACGTCCTCTACATCACCGACTTCGCCTCAACCGCAGTATACACGGAGTGTAAGTTCAGCCGTGTCTGAAGCTAGCTACACATCAGTGCCACGGCGTGTCCCTGTCCCTGCTGCTACAACGGCATCACTTCAGCGAGCGGCACCTGCAGCACGTAGCCATGTCAGCCAGTCGGATCCAGCTCTAGCTGCACAAGCATCAAGCTCTGCTACTCCAGCCCAACCTCAGGAAGCTGCCAGAGGAAGTGGCCATGGAGCTGAGAGGCGGCGGAAGAGCGGTAAAAGTAGGAAGAAAGGTTGAAGCATCTCGATGTAGTTGTACATGGTACAAATCCCCCGCTCTCCAATCTGACACTTCTGATCCAATTGATTCTTGCTTTCGTAGACGTTGCATACAAGATAGTGGCCTCGAAGACGGCCACGTATGTAGTGGGCCCTTGATATTCCTGTTGTACTGATAAATATATGTATTGCTTGCTCCACTGAGGTGTGTTGTTCGATAACAGTCATTCGATCTGACTCTTAAATCAGTCAAACGTGTCTCGAACTGGGCAAGGAGCGCCTGCAGGAACGGGTCTGTCCCCTCAATCCAGCCCTTAGCACGATTTGTTGAATGCCATATTGCGTGTGCTGCATCTGCATCTTGCAGCTGCATCTGCGGTCTCGAACACTTGCAACGGTTTTCTAGACACTTATGCGACAAGGGTACGCGCACAACGGCCGTTGCATAACGGCAGTTTCGATCGCGATCACATCGAAAGTCCCGGGTAGCAATCAAACAAAAGCCAATATCGGTGTAGGAAGTTTTGGATGCCATCGTGTTGCACTGCCTCTCGCGTAAAGACGAATTAATCTCCGCGATTTTCATGGTTCACGCACATCATCGCACATGTGCACAAGTGGGATCTGAGACGGCATAAATCGGAGGTGGCGGTACCTGCAGGGCTACGCCGGCTACGCCCAACCACCAAAAAGCGGTCAGTTAGTCTGCGACGATCATTCCTCTGCTTGCTCCACAAGTTCGCGCACATCTTTAAGCTGGCCAAAGTTCCTTCCCTCATCAGCATTCCCCAACCGTGCCATCTTTTGTGGTCTTTTTCTACCCGTCGACGTGTTCCTTACTAGTCCTTGACTCATTTCCCACGTTTTCCCGTCGGAGTCGTCGTTGCGCACGGTGTGGCCTGTGTTGTCATAGTGTGCAGAAGTTGGGTTGCTATAGCCTCGAATTAGTTGGCTAGTAGGGCACCGCGCATCAGGCCAAGGCAGGGTCAAGGAAGCAGGGAAGAACCTGAGCTGAAGTGAGGCAAAAGAGGAGGCGATTGAAGCCCAAGAGACCCACATCCCTTCACCGGTTGTGTGTTTGCGACAGCTCTCTTCTAGTCCACTGGATACTGTTGCGCTGGCTTCAAGACTCACAGTCATAGAGTCGTTGTTGTCGCTAAACCTCATCACCGCGCATATCAAGAGTTATCTTGCGCTGAATGCGCTGGGCGGATCAATACACTTTACACCACCGCATCCCGGCTTCTGTTGCTCGCGCGCATTCATCCCGCCGCTCATCAACATCAACCCTCGGAGTATCAACAACACCCCTTTCAGCCTCCATACACCCTAAACCAACCTTACTCCTCCCCTCCTCAACCCACACCCCACGCCCCACCACCATGGGCTACGGCAGCAGCTCCTGGAACCCCTTCTCAACAGGGGGCTCACCCTCGCGACGCTCCTCATCCGGATACCGGCCTGGCTACGCCTCGTCCTCGTACTCGGCGTCCTCGCGCCACCACAGCTCCACGTCGCGCTACAAGCGCTCACCCCGCGACTCGTACATGCAACACCTGTACAAGAAACTGCAACACTTCCTCCGCGAAATCTGGCGCTACGCCCAACGCCACCCCTACAAAGTCTTCTTCATGGTCATCATGCCCCTCGTCTCCGGCGGCGTCTTGCACAAACTCGCCCGTCAGTTCGGCGTCAATCTGCCTGAGATGGGGGGGCCGGGTGCGAGAGGCGGGTACGCTGGCTCAGGGCACACCAACACCAACTACAATACCAGGGGTGCCAGCAGCAGCGGGGGCTACTACGGCAGCCAGGGCTACGGCTACGAGACCACCCGGAGCGCCCCCAGCAACGGCGGCGGAGGCATGATGGCCGGTCTCGGCAACATCGACATGCAGAGCGTCTCTTCTGGCATTGGCGGTCTGGCTAGTCTGGCGAGTATGGCAAGCAAGTTCATGTAAAGAGTTGAAGAGGAGCTGACTCGAGCTTCCTCTTCTAGGAACGGTCGAGAATGTCCTTACTATCACGCGCGTTGTCGGGAATCTGACGCGCGGGGGGAGTGACTGGTGACATGAGGAGCAGAGGAGTGATCCTCTGCAACAGGCTTTACCGCAGATTATGAGTGAGGAGATGGCGAGGAAGTGGGAGTATTGGAAAGGGCTGTGATGGGGAAGCTGTGATGGAGAAAAAGGCGGTACTTTTGTTTTGCCCTTGTTGGGCTTTTCTTATTGCACGACGTTACGACGGCGCGTTGTGGGGAGACGTTTGACGACGTTTTTCTCCTGTTCTTTTCCGTTATGGCTTGTTTAGCTTTCTTTTTCTTCCTTTTCGTTAGAGATATCCCTCCTTTGCGTAGGCTTGGACCTGCCTGGCGTTCAGATGCAAATCAAAACTTGCTCTTCTTATACCTTACTACTCACATCATGCGTGCAACGAACTAATATCATCAAGCCTGTGAAGTCCGTGTAGTAGATTATCCAATCTAAACCAACAGTGAAAAGAGACTCAGGTTCCCAGCTAAACTCCAAGGATATCGTCATTCATACACCCCATCCCCCTCCCTCCCTCCTCCCCATCCCCGCTCACCCAGAAACCACATTAGCAAAAACCTTCGCCGCCAACCCACTCAACAACCTCGCCTTATCCGCCTGCGGCATCTCCTGAAACACCGCATACACACTCTTCCCCTTCGTATCCCTCACAGCCCCCAGCCTATTCCCCGCCACCGCCCCCGCAACCATACCGGGGAAGTTGGCCACAATAAACCCCATGGCCCCTCCACTCAACCCACCAACTATACTCCAAAACTTCGACGTCGGATGCGCGTCTTGATCCGCCATCCCCTCTTCCCTAAGCATCTCCTCGAATATACCACCGAATTGCTCTTCAGAGAACCGGTTGTGGGATTCTTCCGTGTTGCCGGCGGGTGCGCTGCCGAAACCAAAGGCGGACCAGGGGAAGCCTTGGGCGAAGCCTCCGCCTGTGCCTGCGCCCGCACCCGCATTTCCTGGGATGTCTTCTTCGAAATCAGAGTCTGGTGTTGCGGTGCTGCCTGTGAAACTGTTGTAGGTGCGTGCGGCGTCGTAGTCGCGGCGCCGTGTCGCGTCTGATAGAGTGTAGTAGGCGTCGTTGATTTGTTGGAAGCGCTTTGTGCGGCTGGCGCGCTCGGGGGAGTCGGAGGGGACGCGGTCGGGGTGGTGCTTTAGTGCTGCTCTGTGGGGGGAGTGTTAGAGGTTGAGCAGAGAGAGAGGTTTGTGGGGTGGGTGAGGTGGTACTTTTTGTAGGCATCGCGGATTTGCTGTTGGGTCGCTTTCGAGTCGACCTCGAGGGTTTTGTCTATGGTGTTGTATGAGCTTTCGGGTAGGAAGTAGAGGTTTGTGTGCGCATACAGTAGTCTGGTTGGGGAGCTGTGTGGTGTTAGTTGGACGTTATCGCTAGGCTGCTGTGTATCTCACCCATGATGTTGGCTGGTTTCGGAGATTGGAATTCGAGCTCGAGAGTATTGTTTAGATTGATTGTTGGGTATGCGATCAAGGCAGTGAGCAAAGTTCAGGTAAGTGAGGATGTAGGTTGTAGGTTGTGGGTACAGTGGTGCGAAGTTCAGGGACAGGTACGCGGGTGGCAGCAATAACGTAGACGCGAGAGGTCTAGCCACATTGGTGCATACAGTCCATCTAACCAAAGGCGCGCCAAGACATAGCATGCGCTAACGCAAATAGGTAATTTTTAAAATATAGCATACTAGCGTTATACTACCTAAGAGAATTAGCGTACTTAGCAATAAAATTTTTAATTTAAATAATTCTTAGATTTATTCTAAATTAATTTAGACTAGATTATACCTATATTATAATATAGAGCCTTTTTTGCCTATATTTAACGCTAAGCCTAAATTTCTTAACCTTAATATATTAGACCTAGATATCTATAAGAGATTTAACCTATATTTATCTAGCTCTAGTAAGAGTAATAATAGTAGTGTTAAAGACTAGGTTAAGGTATATAGTTAAATTAATTCTAGAACAATTCTAGACTTATTTAAACTAAGGTATAGTTTAACTTACTTCTAGAAATAGCAGCGCGCCTCTCTTAGAGGCTAGAGTTATTAAGTATACTATATATCTACTCTAATACTCTAGCATAGACTCTAGAAGCTATGCTTATATTATTTAAGTTTTAAAAGTAAATAGGTAATATCTTTTAGTTAAAAGAGTATTATAAGATACTAAAAGTATAAGTAGCCTGCGTAGACTATTTCTAGATTAATTTAGAACTAATCTAGTATAAGTAGTTTTAATACTATAGAGCTAGCAAAGTAGAGAAGAAGAAGACTTTTAGCCTCTTCTTAAATTTAACTACTTTAAGATAGGTTTTTAAGTGCTCTAGTGTTAAGACGTATAAATACATTTAGAATTAATTATAGAATTTTACTTACTTATAGGTAGATAAAAGCTTATATAAGACACTTAGGTAGATAAAGATATCTATAGGCTAAATTAAGTAGAATAAAGAGAGAAGAAAGGCTAGAAGCTGCTTTAATAGGCTTTAGCGTTAGTTTAGAGATAGTATTTATACTAATAAAGAGAGTTTCTATAGTCTAAAGTTATTTTAGGTAGAATTAATAGTATATATAGTTAAACTATTTCTAGAACAATTTCTAACTAATTCTAGTAAGTAATAGAGCTTACCTTTTAGTTTATTACTTATAGTAATTGCGCTCTAGGTAATATAGAGCACTATATTTAGAGAGTACTACTAAGAATTAATATTACCTACCTATAAGCTCTTTTAGATAGTAGAGTAGAAGGCTCTTATAAGAACTATAATATAGTTAAGCTCTAAATCTTATGCCTAAAAGACTATAGTAAGTTCTTAAAGAATGTTTCTAGATTAATTCTAAACTATTTTAGGTACTAACTATGCCTAGAGTTAAGGTAAACTTATTCTACAAGACTATAATATAGTAATTAATATTATTATCCTCTTATATTTTAAGCAGGTTCTATACTTTATAGTAGTTTTAACTAGTATACACTAGTATATACTCTCTCTACCTTAGTAGCTAGACATAGAATTAGTTAAGAATATAGTTTATATATTCTAATTAATATTAATGCTAAACACTATAAGATATAAGCTATTTTGTAGATATTAATTCTAAATTATTTCTAAACTATTCTAGCTACCTTTTTGTAGTCTAACTAGTTTGCTTTCTACTTAAGGTAGCGTAAAGTTTTATTAATTAAGAAACTCTATACTACTTAGGCAAATAAAGACTGCCTTGTAAAAATAGCTACTACCTAAAAGTTAATTATATTTTCTCTAGGCGCTAGCCTAGAGAGGGTTCTTTTTAAGAGAAGAGTAAACTATTCTAACTCTACTACTATAAGCGCTATCTAAAATGTTTTCTAAACGTTCTTAAATTAATCTACGTAGGTATATATCTACTAAATCTTACTAGCTAGTAGAGGCTATATTATTATCTAAGTGTAGAATAAGTAAGCTAAACTACTTATAAAATAAGAGACCTTCTAGATAGATATATCTTTTAAGCGCTACTATAATAGTTAGAGAGAAATTCTTTTTACTACTATACTAAAGAGCTATAAAAAGAGTATACAAATTACTTCTAAATTAATCTATAACTAATCTACGCAGTTATTATATTTAGGCGCCTTACTACTAATACTAAGTTCTCTAAGATATACTAAAAGGTATTTACTACCTTCTTCTAGACTATTAAGAAGCGTTTAGGTTAGCTAGTACAATAGCAGTATCTCTACGCACGTAGTTTCTATAGTATTACTATTAATATAGACACTAAGTAGATAGCTAGTAAGTTAAATTAATTTATAATTAATCTACGCTTATTTTAGCTTAGAATTTAGAAGGTACCTTACTAGCCTTAACTAGCTTAATAGAGACTAGAAGTACTACCTTAGCTACTATATAAGATTCTACATTATTTACTTTCTTTATACTATTAATAAGGCTTGTTCTAGTATACTATATATTAAAGATTCTTTGTAGAGTAGAATAAAGGCGCTACTTACTATAGTAAGCTAGGCTAAGTATTTTAAGTTATATAATCTGCTTATTAGTAAGTAGTCTAAATTAATTCTAGAACGTTTCTAAACTATTCTAAGAAAATACTCTAATACCTGTAGCTAAAGAATAGGTAAAAAATAAGAAGAACTCTATTATTACTACAGAATTAAACATACACTACAGTAGTATATCTAGAGCTACCTAGAATATACTAGAATTCTATATAAATACTATAGAATAAGTATATACAAAGAGCTATTATACTAGCCTAAGATATAAGCTTCTAGTTAGTATTAGACTATATATTAAATTAGTTCTAAATTATTTTACAACTAATTTTATATAGCGCTATATAGATAGACCTATAGAATATATAGAAATACAAGATCTGTAAAAAGTATAGTGTTAGGCACAAATTAAGGTAAAATTTAAGCCTAAGTAGCTGCTTTTATAATAATATAAGGTAAGAAAAGAGTAAGTATTTAGTTATCTATATATAGATTAATTCTAAACTATTTAGAGCGTAAGAAATAAGAGAAAGAGAATAAAGAGAAAGATAATATTCTTAAATTACTTAAATTACTTAGGCTATTAAGACAGCAACCTTACTAGCGTCTAAGCTTCTAGCTAGCAGCGCAGCGCTCGCGTATATAGATATTCTAGTTATTACCTTTAGCCTTATTCTCTCTTAGAGCTAATTTATTGCTAGCTCTATAAGTATAACTATTTCTAGATTAATTTAGAACTAATCTACGCAAGAAACGCTCTAACCTAGATATAGACTTAGAAGAAGAGAAGCGTAAGCTTAAAAGAGAGCGTAAAAGAGCAAAACTTTAATAAGAAAGAAGGTTACTTTAAATCTAAACTAAGAAGGCTAAGTTAGAGCTCTAAGAAAAGAAGCTGTAGGTTTATCTTTAGTGTAAATTAATCTAGAACTAGTTAAGAGAAAACTAGACTAGTCTTAGAATAGTTAGTATAATTAAAGAGTTTTTAGCGCTAGATAAAATCTACTAAAACCTATCTTACTCTCTAATTCTATCTTTTCTATATTAAATATAGTAAGTAGAGTTCTTTCTAATAAGGTTTGTCTCTGCCTAACTAATTCTAAATTAATTGCTAACTATTCTAGCCTACGTATACTTAATATACTACTCTTACTATACTTCTATATAGCTTTATAGAGTTTAACCTTAAGAACTTAGAGAGAAGATATATTATCTTCTATAGAGAACTCTTCTATTGCGTAAAGTATAATAAAAGCTCCTTAAGTCTCTATAGTGTAAGTCTAATAGTTACCTAGAACTTTTTATAGATTAATTCTAAACTAATTCTAGTAGCGCTATAAGAGAAGATTAAACCTTATTAAATATATTTACAAAACCTACCTCTAGTACTCTATTGCGCTAAATTCTACTAGCGTAATACCTCTATAAATACACTACGCTACCTATTACTTCTTTTAAGAGATAATAAAGTGCTATAATAACTCTAGAGTAGTAGAAGAGAATACTATTGCTAAGAAGTAGATTTAAAATAAACTTTAGAATTGTTTTCTAATTAATCTAGAGCTAATTTAACCTACTATCTAACTAGCTACTCTCTCTACTAAACTCTTATTAGAGGTGCTACGCTTTACATCTTTAAATAAGCAAAAAAAATAGAAAAAGAGTAAAATTAATTTCTAATTAGTTTACTACCTACTACTTAAAAATAATAAGCCTTTGCTATGTAAATTCTACTAAAGTAGAAGATTTAAATGTAAGCCTCTTTTTACTATTTAAACTTTAATTAATATATATTTTACTTACTAAAATATAGCTTATTGCCTTTATTAATAGTGTTATAATACCTTTGCTTTTTAAAACTTATAGAGAATATAATTAAAGTTATAGTTTTATTAAATTTATTTTGTATATCTATTTATTCTTAAATTATTTCTTAATTATTCTATAAACAATTCTACTATAGTTTTAATTCTTATTACTATTAGACTTAGAAGAAGTAGCTAGGCTCTTAGGCTTAGAGGTCTCTCTAGAAAGATTGCAGAAGAACTACTAAGAAGTATATATAGTAAACTTATTATAAAAGAAAGTATAGTCTAAATTTTATTAGAATTAATTAAGAAACGTTTAAGAAATAATTTAAATAAAGCTTACTCTTTAGGTTTTTAGCGTTAAGGCCTTCTACGTTATACTTTTAGCAAAAGAGGTTAAATTTATTATCTAGGTTAGAGAAATAGTTCTAGATGCAATCTATTATAAGGTTGTAATTAAGCTATATTAGTTAGAAACAATCTAGAAACGTTTAAGAAATAATTTACTTAAGTTTAATCTTTATTAAGCTAAATAGCATTCTAAGAAGAGCTATTATCTTTCTTCTCTTCTTTCTCTTAGCTAGAGATAGCGCTCTTA